CTGCAGCTGCAAAGACAGCTCGACAAGGAGGAAAGGTCACTCAATCGACAAAAAGGCTCTCCCGATGGGTACCTTCTTCGCACCACAACACCTCAGTCTGTGAAAGACTCTTCTGCTAGAAAGGGAAGTTGTAAGAAGGCAAAGGACATGAAGCTAACAAAAAAACAGACTGAAACAAATCACCGCAAGGTCCGGAAAGGTTCATGCAATGAAAACTGGCAGTCTCCTACCAGAGTCCGAATGAAGTCACCTGGCCTCAAGGACGGAAATGTTTTGAATTGTGTTGTTAATACCAGTGACCCAAATGGTATTTGTTCCTTGCCTAAAAAAGAGCAGAAGACAATCCTTCAAATGTTTAAAAGCCCTGTTGCAGAGTAGAGCAACAGAACCACAGACACATGGTGGGAAAGGATCAAAATTAAAACCATAGTAATGCTTCCCCCTGTGTTAGGCAGAGCTCCCTCTAAACAGTTGAAAAGGTGATGGTTTTGGCGGGATCACTTCAGGCTACAGGAGCAACCAAAACTGTCTGCTTATTAAAACTTGCCGTGAATGTTTCTGAGAAGTTTTAAGAAGTCATGTCCCTAGACCTTAAAAATTTTAATTGGCCTCTTCTTGACTATGGCTTATTTTCTACGACTTGCGTTTGCAAGTTTGTTTGTTTGTTATAATTTTGAGTGTAAATACTCTTTAGTGTTTAAAATCTAAAAACTGTTGGTCTTATGTTAGAATAAGAATTTGGAGCCTTCTAAGAGAAGGATGCTCGTCTCCCAGAGTAAGCAAATGAAAAGGCGAGTCTGTGTCTCCAGTTGTCTGCTGACTGAGATTGAGGCTTCACTCGGCACAGCCGCTGCTCTGTTAAACTGAAGCACGTTGCTGGAATTTGGTGTTTGCTGAATTGTGCTGTTTGCCTGGCAGTTACCAAGAGTATAGCCAGCCAGCCAGTCTTGCAAACATGCTCTTTCCCTCCCCCTCAACTTGCTGTGTAGTAGCCTCTTTCTTACTCAGAGGGGAAAAAACGGATTGTTCCCCCACAGCCAGAGGCAAGGATCTGTTAGAGATGCTGGTAATCTAACTGGTTGTGGGCTTGTATGTATTCTGTTCATTTTTACCTCTGTTAATTTTGTTTTCTTAGTGTTTTGTAACTTTATTCTTATGCAATGCTGCCTACATCTACTGCTATTTAACTTTCATATGCAAACTGTTGAGTCTGATTAAAAGCATGTAATATGCAAAAAATGTTAGTCCAGGAGACAGTTAACAATGGAGAAAGCAAAACCAAAAGGGGAAAAGCAAATGGAAACTGGAGTTGTCAGTAATGGCTTAACAACCCTACAGATTCATTTAACTTCCAGCTGGAGTTCAACTACCCTGCCTGACTGTGACTGTTGTGGCTTGGTTGTTTTTTTTGTTTGCTTTTTTGAGGAACTACCAAATACTGTTTTCCAGTTTGGTTTTAAAAGTAACATCACTGAAAGGAGTTACAACCCAGATGTGTGGGGAAGGTGACGGCTGTGGGAAGTTGAGGCCTCTGGAGAAGCTGACTGGCTGCTAGTCAGTAGAGGAAGTGTTCCTGTTATGTTATTTTCTGTACTGCTGTTGATAAGCCATCTCTTTCTTTCCATGATATATTTCTCAAGTATATGTTTTTGAATGAGAGAAAAACACCAACCTATGCTGCTGAAATATGTGTGCTAATAACTGAAGGTAGCAAGTGCTTCAAAAGCGTACTTTTTTTTGGAACCTCGTGGATTATCTATGAACTTTCAACTCGGCTCTGAGATGCTTGTAACAACTGTTTCAAAGCAGTAACTTCTGGTGTTTTTTAAGTTAACAAAAAAAAATATTGAAAACATAAACAGAACACTGACCCAAAAATGTGATTTTATTTTTTTTCTGTGCTTGCATGTCTCTAATACTGGTGGGTTTCTGCTAAATAAATGGCCTCTTCAAAGATGCTTCTTGAGAAAGCTGCAGCAGCAACCTGCTGCACATAATGAATTATTTTCTAATGCTGCTCCTTCAATATAGATCTGTTTCTGTATCATTGTTACTTCTGTTCTGTTTGTTTGTGTCTTACCTAGGCTGTCAAATATATTTGTTCATTGATTACTGTGTTCTTGAAGGCAGAAGTATTGACTGTTTTGGGGCTAATGACACTTGGCTTTTCCTGTCATAAGCATGTAACAAGTAAAGCCTATATTTTCAGAATAGCTGAAGAGAAAGTTTTGTTCTTAAGTCTCTGCTCAGCCTCATCGTCATTTTATCAAGTCTTATGTTCTTAACTTGCTTGGAAGACAGTCCCTGCTCTGGCATGGAGCACCTCCTTCCAAGAGCACAGATCCTGCCGACCGCAGACCTTTCTCAAGTAAGTCTGAGCCAGGGCACCACATGCTCCTCTGATTTTATTTTTCAAGTTCTGGTGCTTAGGATTTTGGAGCTGGTTGGAACAGATTTTGAGTGGTAGAAGGCAATTCCCAGCCTCCTACAGGTGCTGGCACCTGCTACCAAAACCCTGTAATTTATGCCTGGTACAACTGCAGTTTGAGGTGCTTTGGTCCTGATTGTACTTCTGTACCTCTCAAACAGTTTGAATGTTTGCCTTGTTCTTCTTAATCACTGCCTTCACTGTCTAGCACTGAAGGGGTCTGAACCTGAAGTATTTTGAGCTGCAAGCCATTTGTATCGTAAGAATTAATCTTACATGTCTTACAGCTTCTGGCCCTGGTTCATTACCGTGTTTTCCTCAGATCAACCATCATTATATTGCAGTGCTGGCGTGGAAGATACATTTACAGCCAAGTCCTGATGTTTGATAGATTCTTAGTGGAAAAAAAAAAAAAAAAAGAGAGAAAAAATGTGTGATTGTACAGATAAATATCTAGATAAAAACTCAAGGCCCGGCAGCCTTGATCTTTATCAGGTTTCAGCTTATTTAGTGGTCTCATTGTTTTGGGGCTAGTTCCATCCCTGTAACAAGAAGACAGCAAATAATATATGCAAAGCTACAAGATGGGCTTTGTGTTTAAAAAAACAGCTGAATTGGGTAGCATTGTGCAGTCTATCTGAGTATGTTCAAACAACCAAGAACACAAGTCCCACTCAGCTGTGGTGCCTGGGGCTCTTTGTCATCCAGTTCATGTTAAAGGGTGACAGCAGAGAGGGTAGGGGAGAAGGAAGGCTTTCCTCCAGCACACATGCACCAGGTGTAGCTCAGCACATCCAGCACACAATGTTGCCACAGTTAACACCAGTTCCATTCCTTTTTCCTCCAAAGTTGTTCCGTGGATTCTTTCTTTTCCCTCTTAACCTGGCAGTTAGGTGTCTCTTGTATCTAAGGTTTATGACATGCACTAAACTAATCACAGTTAGAAGTTGAATAAGAATTGGGGGCTTTTTTGCATCTTACAGACTTACTCCCTTGCCATCAATAGCAAATCCTATCCAAAATAAATGTAAAAATCACAAAAAGAAGCCATTTTAAAGGCCTAAATGGTATAGATGTATATTCTAGGGTAGATGTACACTTGCTGGAGGGGTGGCGGTAAAGGATTTGGGGGTTTTGTGTATTTTTTCTTGCCTGATGGATTTTGTCCTCTCAATGTAACAATGACCTCTTACATAAGAGCCATTACTTTTGAAGCTTACTGGGTCAGTCTTTTAACTTTACATACCCTGAAGCTGTACATTTATTTCTTAGTTCTGTAATTATACTTTCTCAGCTGCTTAGAATTCACTTCAGCTTTGGCTTGGACTAGGTAAAATAATAATAATAATAATCCTTTTTTTTTATAAACGTGTCACAAGCATAGAACAGGTTAAAAGCTGTTGCAGGATGGGGAAAATAAACAAGACTAAGAAGTCAATCATTAGCTAAACACCTAATTGAACTGCAAAACACATAAAAGTTATAACCTATACCAGAAGGCCAGTCCAACAGCCTTCTCAGATCCCCCAGATGATCACACTCACAGCATGCGTGGCACAATAGTCCTCAGGAGGCTCCTCTTTAGCTTTTTCTATATTTTTCTGGTTAGAAGGTAGAATTTAGTCACTGCTGAGGGGAAAAACCTTTGGTTTGGGTTGGTTAATGATTCCTTTGCTTCTGAGTGTTAGTTACCCAAATAGTGTGAGATCGTGCAACTTAATTTTTTAATTCTTTGTCTACAGTTGCCAAGTGCAGACGTAACTACAGGCAGAATTCATAAGCTAAGAGCACTGAACCATGAGCAGAAGCCGTTCTTGCTGGTAGGGTAATATTTCTCAATCTGCGGCAGCCTTGCTTCCACTGCTTGTGCAGCATCCACGGGTTGGATTTAGGTGGTTTCTTGTGAGGGTAACAGCTGGAATATTGCTACAGCACAGGGAGCTGAAAGAGACAACCAAGTGAGCAGCTGGAGTTGGTGGCTGATGGCTGCTTAATGGTGATCATAAAGCAGGAGCCCACACTTGTGTTTGCATTCAGGGTGGCTGCTACCTGTTAATAAGGTGCTCCTCTGCAAAATTCCAGCCTGCTGAGGGCATTAGTAGCAAGTGAGAAACACTGTGCCGTGCTGGAAACCGGCTGAAAAGAGGGAGATGTGTTTTCTACACTTGCAGTTCCTGCAAGTAGTGCAAGGAAGTGCTGGGAGCGCCTGGTGTTGAGGCCGCTGCTTCCGAATTTGGAACAAAAGCATCTTAACAGGCAAGATGCTCCGTTGTGGATTTGGAAAGCAAAAGCCTCTCGTCAGAATTTCTAACCAAAAACGCCTTTTCCTTTCACACTGACGAACACCACAGCCATCGAAGTGGCCACCTCGGGTCGTGCAGCAGGCGAGCCACAACCCCCCAGCTCCGTGAGCCCCGCGGTTACCGTTTAACCCCCCCTTAACATCAAACTAAATCCCTTTTTCCTCCCCCCCCTCAAAACTCCTGTCAGGATCCCCCCCCTCAGCCCGAGGCAGCGCGAGCCGCGTTGCCACGGCAACTCCCGCCCGCCCCGCCCCGCGGCGGCCCGGCAGAGGAAGGGCGCGGGCGGGACCCCGCGCATGCGCGGTGCGGGCCGGCGGCGTGCGTGTTGTTGTGAGGCGGCGGCGGCAAGATGGCGGCGCCCGGGGGCTCCGCGGCCTCCGCCGCGCTCCGGGGGCTGATCCAGCAGTTCACCGCCATCACGGGTGAGGAGTGAGGACGGCCGGGCCCGGTGCCGGCCGCCGTCGTTTCGTGCTTCACATAAACGGATCTGCCGCCCGCCTGCGAGGTCCGGCTCCGAGGCGGCCGAGGGCAGCGCCCGCTGGGCCCCGCGGGGCGGAGCGGGGCCGCGGCCGAGCTCCTGGGGCTGTGGGGAGGGCACCGCAGAGATGGGGGTAGTGGGGGGGCTGCCAGAGGGGTGCCCCCCTTCTGCTCCCTTCCCGTCCCCCGGAGTCCCTCTGGGTTTTGCTGGGCCGGGAGCCGGCGGTGGGCTCGCAGCTGGAGGGCACAGGGGGCCGGGGTGAGCCCTCGTCCGCATTTTGGGGCAAAAAAAGCCCCAAAACAGCTCTGAAGGGGTGGCGGCTGGCTGAGAACCCGGTTACGTGAGCTGCTTCAAGAGCGCTCCGTGGATGCAGCCCACCTCGTCCCCCTGCTCACAGCACCACAGGGCAGGGCCCGAAGGACGGCTTCATCAAATACCTTTGGCTCTTCAGCCGGTACGAGCGCGGCTGCTTGCGATTCCCTTGCTCCAAGCAGTTTGTTTGCAGGTTGTGGCTGTGTTTACACAGTGCGGGTGCGCTCGGGCCTTGACCAGGGCTAGTACAGCGCGCTGACAGGCTGCGGGTCACTCAGTTAGCCTTGCTGAAACCACCAAGAATTAATCTCCTCAAATGAAAAAGAAAAGCTACAGTCAGTCTGTTTCCCTTACAGGATGTCTGGTGTTTCCTTTTTCAGTAGTGCCTGAGACAGTTGTTCAAGAAGTAACCAGAACAGGCTGGTTTGCCCAACAGCTTTTTCTGCTTACGGGTTGTGCTAAACATAAGAGCTCCCCCTTTTATGCTTTCAAAAGGGAAAATGAGAACCTGCTGCACTTCACCCATCCGCTCTTAAAGGAGGATTTTGAAGTTTTTTTATCACTTTTAACAGAATTCAAGGTTCTATCAAAAGTCTGTTATTGTGGAAGCTTGTTTTGCCAACGCTGGCGTGAAGTGACAGGTGCTCAGTAGCACACACCCTTGGTGGTTTGTGTTATCAGCTTTCCAATTTGACTTGTAAGCTGTACAAAATTACCAATGTTTGCATGGAAAAGGCTAAATGAATTCCATATGGCAATCTGATTGTAGTGTACCTGGTGGTGAGGATTGAGTTGTCTTGAATATATTTTTTGTTCCCAGGTGGCAGAATTGTGTTTCTTTGGTGCTGTCACCCAGAAAATTACTAAGTGCTAATGTAGTTCCTGTAAATCTTCACTAGTGGAATGATAGGATCTCTTTGAAGTTTGTTTTGAGTCTTAACAAATATTTAGTGTTTTCTGCGTGCCGTCACAAGCACTGAAAATATTCATGTGGTGGTGGTTTCCTTAGGAGTGAGGAAGACTCGGGATCTTTAAGTAGTGTAGGATTGGATGTAGTTGTTCTTCTAGTTCTTCTAAATGAATGGCTTCACGTGACTGTGCAGTAAGGTTGGAGGGTGGTGAGTATAATCCAGGCTATCCAGGTGGTGTTTGGTTGGTACAACTGGCAATGAAATGGGCTCCTGAAAATACCAAAGAGCAGTTAGTGGGAAAATGTGAGCTTGATGCTTCTATGTTTGATTTGAGACGTTACTAGTTTTTTCTTTTGCGCTTTTTTTCATCTTGATTAATGTCTTTAAGTACAGCTAAGTGTCATCTGATTACACTTGTTGGGGCAGGTTGTTTTGGTCTTGTTTTTTGTTTGTTTTTGTTTTTGAGAAAGCCGTTCCCTTGGTCTGCTGGGCTTTCTTTGTGGTTTAACGTAATGGTGCAGCCCTTTGAAACCATGGAGATAAATCAATTCTAGAAGTGTATTTTCTCTTACTTATCAGCCTGTTTAATCTAGAACTCTCTGAAAAATCTCAGGCATCTGATGAAAAAAATAATTGTGTTTCTCTCACGTTAGCTGTTACTCTGATGCTGGGAAAACGGTGTTTGCTTCAGCTCAGTGACTTGTAGTGAACTTGCTAAGAATTATTACAGATCCAAAAGCTACTCCCAAACTGGTTCAGCTGCATTTTGCTACTCTTCCTCTGTACCAGTTTTTCTGTATGAAAATAAACTCTTTGGCAGCCTGCTACTTCTAGGGTGATGCTGTAGCAAGTAGGCTCTTAGAAGGTTGGGTACAGGAGAGGTTCCCTTGATGAGAGTGCTTTTCTTTGACAGCGATTTTAAGTAAGCTTTGGGGGGCAGAGGCTGACCCTCTGAGCAAAGAGCTACCCGTGGTGCTGATAAGCAGTATTTCATCCTGAGCAACAAGAAAAAGAGCAGATTTAGTTGTGCCCATTTTAATAAACGTTAGTCATGATCACTGTATGTTCAAGTACTGCTTTCTCCTTGTTTACTATTTTTTTCCTCTGATGTGAACTGAGCTTCTGCTCGTTGCTTTTACATTTTAGAGCACTCAGAAAAACAGGGGATCTGTTCTTTAAGTACCTGTTGTAGATGGGTAAATAACTTTAGCACCGTATTTAGTATTCACCCCGTAAGAATGTTTTCAGGTTTTCTTTCCTTTTTTTTTTTCTTTTGTATCCCACAACAGAACTCAGGATGGGTACACCTATTAACGTTTGGAAAACTGTATCAGGAAAGGGTCCAGAAAAAACAAAGACTGTGCTAAACCTCTTTGTATGGCTTCCGCTACATTTTCTACTTATGGAAGGCAGAAGCCTGGCTGTCCTCTATCTGGACACTCCATTCCCCCTTGAGATATGTGTTAGTCTCAATTTACAGTTGTGCCTAAGGGATAAATGGCAACTGGTGAGCTGCTCTGATTGTTAATGCTGTGAGAGAGAAAGCGTGCTGGTTAGCCGTGCCCAGTGCTGCCGATCAACATGTTTTCTGAAGAATGCTTTAATTTTTCCTTTGGTGTTACAGGTGCCAGCGAAAGCGTGGGAAAGCACATGCTGGAGGCATGCAACAACAACCTGGAGATGGCTGTCACCATGTTTCTGGACGGTGGAGGCATAGCAGAGGAGCCAAGCACCAGTTCTGCAGGGGTGTCTTCTGTTCGACCACACACCGAGTATGTACTTGAACATATCTGTGTATAAGTGAATTGTCTGTCTAAGGAATTCAACAGTGGAAGGCAGAACAAATAAAATGATTGTTCCTTCTCCTAACCTGCTGTCACTTCACTGTAATAACGTGCTTCTTTGATGATCTTGTTCAATTGATTGCCCTGATATTTCTCTTAATAAATAAGCTGTTCTTATTACATAAGCTGGTCTCTCTTGCGTGTACTTCAGAAGTTTTCCGTAAGTTATGCACACTGATTTTACAGATAGAGCTTGAGACATTAAAGTGGGGATCCAATGGAAAGAGATTTTTATTTTTAAATTGCTACAGCACTCTAGCTTTGCTGGGAGAATTCCATTGTTTTGGTTCTTATAAAACATAGTGACTTCAGTCCTGCATGTAAGCAGTTTCTTGTGTTCTCTTAGGAGTAGGTAGATTTGGCACTGGTATGGCTAGATTGTATACACTAATGTGCAGAGGAATAAGCAACCACAAAATCTGCATTAGTGTCTTACACATCACATGCCAATAAAGGAAAGTGTTGTTGCACTTCAGCATGGCAGAGAGTCTTCCAGTGCTGCCTGTTAATGTGCCTGCTTGGGATGAGTGGAATATTTTGAGTGGAAGCTAATTAGTATCAAGTCACATTCGTTAAAAGGTCTAAATTAAGCCTAGCCATGCTTTTGTCTTTCTGAAAGTCTTCCACTTCAAGGAGAAGGCAACTGACTTTTAAAGAAATGTTTTGTTGCTTATACTTCTGAAGCACATGTATGAATTTAAACAACTGTCTGAGCATTAACCTTTATAGTTGAAGTGCCTCCCTGCTTGAACCTGACAGGTAATGAAGTTAAAAGTCTGTATCTGTAGGTGTTAGAGTTCTTAATTTCTAGACAAATTCTGGCACGTCAGTGGCTTACGATTCGAGTTTTTATTGGAATACTTTCTTTTTTATACTTGACACCCTCCAGGTGCTGGTCAGCTTAGTGTTACTTCTAGGAAGAGAGAAAAATAAATATGCAAATACAAAATGGAGAATAACTAGCTTCACAACAGCAATCAAAGATGTGGTGGTTAATAGCAAGGTTAGTGCATCTTGCTGACATTACGAGTTACTTTTTGAAACCTGCATGGCCAAGAGCCACAAACTGCACGCTTAAGATTTTGGAGAGTCCAGGGAAGAGGGTGCTTCAGGAGTAGTTCATAGGCAGGATGTGGCAGTGGATTTTGTTGTGTGAGCCCATGCACTCCTTTGAGTAGACCCATGGGCTAGGTGACTGTACTGGGTAAATTATACTTTTTGTAGCCCTTGTCATTGTATTTCTTCTCCCAGGCATAATTTCAGATTACCTAGCAGTCTCTGTAAGCACAGCTAAGCTGTTACGTGAAGGAGCCCAGCTATGAAAGCAAATAACTGCTTCAGAATTGTATGGAGGGAAATGACAATTTTGACCATCTTGTTTTCCTTCCTCTGGAAAAAGAAAGGGCCGTGAGTTTAAAGTGGAGGCAAAAGGTCTTCCATCAGGAGAAAGTTTGTAGTAACCAATAATCTTTTTTCCCCTCTATGCAGATAAACGTGACAGGAGGGTGGCAAATTAGCCTTTGTTATTTTTTAATAAACTTTTCCAAGTTCTAAGGAAGTTACTAAAGAAGAAAAAATGTTTGAATAGTAGATTGACAAAGTCTGGGATCAAGTCACCCAAGGATTCATATAATCTAATGTCAAGATGTAGAAAGGTGATCAATGCCAGATCTTAATGCGTAGTGTACTAAGTCCTGCTTCAGTGCCTTGAGTGGGAATAGGTGGCCTCTGAGGTCCCTTTTGACCCTAAATCTCTGATTCTGTGCAATGATACAGCAGCATCCTTAGCTGATCCAAGTTGCAGGAGCCTTTGAAGCGCAACAGGGTATAATTTACATAGTACTTGGAACGTTATTATCTCTCACTTTTCTCTCCTCTTTGATAGGGATGAAGTACGAGCTCCAATTCCTCAAAAACAGGAAATTTTAGTAGAACCTGAACCCTTGTTTGGAGGTAGGCTTGTGTTCTTGTTTTCTTTTTTGTTTTCTTGAAATACCTTGAGATGAGCTTACGTAACAAGAAAAGAGCAGAACTTGGTGAACATAAAGAAAGCAGTGTACATATTTTTATTCTTGTTTTATTCGTGCTGCAACTGTGCAGCCATGTAAAATGATTGCATACTTGGAAATACACCGGTGCTGTTTAAAACCTTGCCCATTGGAGCTGCTACGTTCCCAGTGGTACCAATTTGCTAGCTCCTGTTTCATGGGACTTTGTGAGGCAACAGCCAATTAGCAATGATGAGTACACATCTGTGTTCTGGAGGGGGTCAGAACTGTGCAACACTGCTGCAAAAGTGTCCAAGCTGGGGATTTGACTGACAGGTAAAAATGGAGAGGACAAATGGATGCTTCTCAGAGAGATCCATGAGGAAGCGTTGAACTGTTCTGTTACTCATCATGTTATCCATGTCTTCGTTAAAAGAATTTAATTTGCTCTTAAAACTATCACACAGATAGTTTTCTTGTTTTCTGAAGCTGTTCTGCTTTTGAAACATTTTTTGCTGTAAGCAAAGAGGTAATGGAAATACTGATTTCTGTTGCGTACTTAACTAAAACACTGGTTAGTACTTAGCTAATGCACTGATGCTCTGAATTCTTCACTATCAGGACTAGATTACCAGGTGCATTATCCTTTCGTTATGTATAGTGTCCATCTCTGTATAGAGATCTAAAGTTCCCTCTTTTTTTGTTACTTACTTCCCTTGTGAGTCTTTGTCCTTTTTGTGTTGACCAGGCTGTCTATGGCTTTTAACACGTCAGCTGGATTAAGAGTCTTGTCTTTTTTAACAAGTAAGGACATGCGAGTGCTCGTCTTTAATGTGATCCTGTACCCATAGGAAATTTGGTTTCAGTTGTTTAGTTCCTGAGCTAGAGAGAGCCATGAGATCAAGTCTGAGGTTTACTGTGGAACTGGTTTTCTGTTGATCCTGTTCTCAACATCGGAGACATCTTTTGCCAGGATGCACAAGCTGAGAGGTGGTTGCAGATGACCTGCTGAGGGCTCTTTGAAGGCAGCGCACCAGCTTGTTCCTCTTGCTTTCTTTGTGACCCAACAGAGTCTTTGACAAAGGTCTAGAGATGCCTGTGGGTTCACAAACCCACAAAGTGCAGGAGTATGATCTGCCAGCCCTCTTGCCTGATCCTTTTCTACCCGTCTGTCACACACTGATCGCAGACATGCTGTCCCTGACTGCCCTACCAAGGCAATCTGGGGATCAGTGGTAGCTTCCTGGCTCTGTCTCATCCACCAGTGCTAATATTCTCATTAATGACGCTTTTGTTTATAGCACGAAGCAGCCCAGCAGCCCAGCTGACACTGGAAAGCTACTTCTATTGGTCCTTTCAGCTCTAATCTCAAGCAGGAAATATTCCAGTTCCTGGTTTTAAGAGCCTCATATTGAGGTCATGTTTTAGGTTTTCTTCTGATTGAAAAGCCCGTGTCCGTTTGCTCTGCCGGATACGCTGAATCGCTCTCGTACTGCAAAATAAATCAGAGAAGTCTAACAGCACACCTGCACTGGGTTTGTAGCTAAGCCTGGGGAGGCAAATGTTGCTTTGCTGAAGTGCTCCTTCAGTTGCTGTTTGAAGCTGCAGCTGGCTGTACCAGGCTGTGCTTGCGGTAAGCTTTTAGGAGAGAGAGCAACGTTACTTACTGGAATTGGACAGGCACTGTTCACAGGCATGCTCCTCATTCAGGGTTACTTTCAATTTCCTCATATGCTGTGCAAAACGCTCTTATTATTTTCTTGATACACTGTGCAAGAAATAAGAGCTGTGTATCATTCTCCTTGCCCTTAATGATGCGCAGGGTGACGGTGCATGCAGCACCTATTGTCTACGGGCGCAAAACCATAAAGATCTCTAAAAACAAGGTTTGGAGGTACTTGCTTCGTGACCTGTATGTATTTCATGCTTCCTCAATGGTAATGGATTTTTCCCACACATTACACATTTCTGGTGGGTATATGTTGTATTTATCTTGCTCTCTGTAACTCATTTAATGTTTATCATGTCTTCTAACAATTATGCTTTGAAAGTTCTTTCTTAAAGCTGTTTTGCTTTCAAATCAAAGTAAAGCGGACAAGTAGTTAAAATAAATCTTGGCAGGTAGTTTTCTTTTGCATCCCAGCTGCAGTGCTTTTAGCGTATCATAGGACTTCAGAGGAGCTGTAAGGCACTACTTCAGTTACCTGCCTGTCCCACTGTACCCAGCTGAAGGTTTCCTTGCAGGCAGTGACACTGGATCCAGTGGAAGAACTTGGCTATTGCCAATGCAGACAAAGATGGGATCTGGATAAGAGATTAAGAAGGAGTGGAAATGATTTGTGGAAGAAACAAATGCGTTTCTTAATAAGGAAGGTATTCTTTTGCAGGGGCTAACGTTAAATTTTTGTGTACTGTTGATCCATTTTCCTTCTGTGGTAAGGTTTGCTGGACAGAGGATATGATAGGAGTGAATGGGTCTCACAAACTACTTGTCTGCATCCTCCTCCAGCCTTTCCTAATGATTTTACTCCCACATAGGTCATACTTTGAATTCCTGTTTTGTTGTTCAATGTGTGATAGAAGGTAGTAATAAGTAATGCTTTTGATAGAATACCTTTGGAATAATTATTTAAATACTCTTTTCTTTTAAGCTCCTAAAAGACGCAGACCTGCGCGCTCAATATTCGATGGCTTTCGGGATTTTCAAACAGAAACCAGTAAGTGTCTGCAGATCAGTAACTTAGAGGCTCTCCTTTTCTTTTTTTTTTCCTAAGTATGATTACAAATTAATTGCCAGCATAGGCTATGATAGTTTTCAGTCATTTAATGTTTTTTTAATTGCTTACTGTGTAGCAAAAGTTATTTTGGAAAAATATTATTATTAGGCTGTTCCTTTTTGTGGCAGTACCATTTGCTGACAGTTCTTTTCCACATGCTTTGGGTGCAGTTAAGGTTGTTACTTTATTTCTGGGGACAGTCTTAAGTTGTTATGGAGTGGCTGAAGGGAGAGTGCTGAGTAGTGGACATATGAAGCAGGTACTAAGGGTGCTGGTCCAAACATTTGCCCGGGGTATGTAAGTAAAACCATCCGAAGGTATATTCAGCATGCCTTGGTATGCCAGATACATTCTCGATAACTTTCAAAAAACACTTTTTCTGCTTTAGGGAGAATCAAAAATGGAGAAGAATATAATAGCTATGTAGAAATTAATTTCATCCACTGAATTTTTCTTGGATAGCCAGTGGTGTTTCTGGCACTTGAATTAGATTTGAGTAGCCCTGAGGCTTCTTCCTTGGCCACACATAAGGATCATGTGAATTTAATTGCTGTTTACCACTGTCTATTTGTTCATATGCAGAATCTCCAAATGGCAAAGTGTTGGCTGTTATTTAAGCCATTAAGTTTCACAGAACAGGCTTCTTTAACAGCAACTGACACCAGGTATTTTGCAGCTGTTATGGCTGTTACCCAGTTGTTTCTGTGAATGTTGTGGGAGTGCTCAAGAGCTCTAACCAAGGACCAGGTTCCTGAGTTATTAGGTGCTATTGGATGCTGAAAATAACTATTTGTAGTTGCTGGCTTTCCTCAACAGCTTTGGTCAGGGGTTTCCAGCAGTAATAACCAGTCAAGTACTAAAGTAATTGGCAGCTATGTAAAAACACAGAATCTACAGCATCTTCATGCCCTTAACTTTTTTCTCATCATCTCCGCTCTCTTATAGCAAAAACATTTAGAGGTGTGTGATGTCTAAACTTTTGTGAAGGTTTGTGATGCAAACTAATGACGCTTCATGGTAAAAAAAATTTTATGGGTTAATATCACTATCCTGGTTATCTCTGAAGAAGTCGTTTTAGCCACAGAAGTCCATGTTATTTCCTGGCTTCCAGGCCTGCTCCACAGGGATACTTCTATCCCTGGCGGGATCCAGTGTTTGCTCAAAAGTGGCTTGTATGGTATGGCCCCTTGGCAACTCCTTTCACAAATGGAAAGCTTTGGAGTTACGAGATTGTTATTCCTCATATCAAATGGCTTGGTTCCGTAAACTGCATTATATCCCTGTGATGCAGTTGCTGTGATCTCTCTACATAGACTGAATGTTTCTGTGGCATTGTTTTACCGTCAGGTGTTACAAACGTTGAAATAGAAATACTCTTGAGTAAAGCTATGATCTTAACAGTGTAGCTCAATTTTCTCTATGTAAAAGCATCATGGGGGACAAGTCGTGGACATTTTTTTGTTTTCAAATATTGGCACATGACCACTGCCACTGATAGTTACATTTCTTAAGATGTATTTAAATAAATTTCCACTGCTTGAGAGAGCTGGGACAAGTGGGGTTCTTGCCTTAAGTAACAGCTAAATGTTACTCAGTGTGGACCAACCTTGTGACGTAGGTGCCAAAGTTTTGTGTATGAGTATAGAGTCAATAATAAATCCATCATGTGAGTATTTTTGTCTAATTCAGCTTTGTTTCCTCTTGGGGCTGTGCAGTTCGACAGGAACAGGAGCTACGAAATGGAGGGGCAGTAGATAAGAAACTCACTACTCTAGCAGACCTCTTCAGGCCTCCCATTGATTTGATGCACAAAGGCAGCTTTGAAACGGTAAGTTTTGAAGTTTTGGTGAAGTTCCATATGTGGTGGCTGCGTACAGTGTGAAAGCCCTGGGTTAGGCTGTTGGCGTGTATGTAGGCTGATGAGAAAGTTGCAAAGGACCACATAGTGATAAATACTTGATACAGTGCTTATGGAAATGTTGGTGACTCCTGAAGGATTTAACTAATGGTTGTAGACCACATTTTTTTGTTGTTTAAATGCCAACATGGCAAATAGTGCTTACTGAAAGCCTTCTGTGCACAAATGAGGCTGGTAAAAATGGAAGAATTGCATCCCTTGAAGCATCTTTGTACAGCATGAAATAGAAATAGCTGAAGTAAGGTGGCTTTTAATGGGTGAGTAAGTGCTTTGCAAGGGGACATATAGTTTGCAGCCCAGCCCAGCTAGAAAGCTCATGCAGTTTTGCTAACATGGCTGAATGATTTCTGATACCTGAGTGTTTGTAAATGTATCTGGGCGTGGCATTGTTATGAAGATGCAACTTTATCTTCAGTAGAAGTCATGTTTGTATATAAAATTACAGCGATCATCTTCTGCCTTGGGTCATGATGGAAAAACTGTCCAAGAGATTGTCCCTGTAAAAAGGGGAAAGCTAAGGGGGCTGTAGGATTTCAGTGATCTCAGGTGTCACCGTTTCTGTTTGTGGTGTGTCTTGTGGGTCTAGTCAGAATTTGCTAATATCTGGATCAGTGCCCCAGTTAGTGATTAGAGACTATGCAAATCAGTATCTCTCTTTATTTTCTGAGTTCCCAACTTCCAGGTATTGTTTGAAAGCCGCAGTTACTTCTCAGCTTCTGCCTGGTCATCTTTAAGTAGCTGAGTGCTAGAGATGATTTCATGAGAATGCAAACTAATGACCAAATGGGGCAGCGCAGACACTGCAAGTGGTGCTGGAGATCTGACTGTGAGCTGAACAAAACATTATTTACGCTCTTACATTTATTTCTAATGCCATGCCCAAATACTGCTGCAGAACTTTTAGAGATGTGCTGCCTTCACTGAGGCTCCAGCTCCCCATCCTGTTGGCCTCATCTCTCTTTTTGTGCTTCCTGAATCACCAAAGATCAGTTGGCTTGTCACCAGTTCCTGTGGTCTGACAGTGCCCTCCATATATTTAATCTTACAACATAATTCCAGGTTTGAAAGGATGCTGACAGAGGATAGCCGAGTCTACCTCAGCAAGTAATTTGGTGCAGTGGAAGCAGACGAGCAGGCTCAAGTAGCTGGTGCTGAGGCATCACTGCCTCATGATATGTGCTTCAGGGTTTACTTCAAACAAGGTTGTCTTTTGTCTTCCAACTGATGATCCTGACCAGGCCTGTGGTTCAGAGCTGTTTGTGAACCAAGCAAATGTGGCTTGAGGGACCGAGAAAGGGAATTCACATAAAACAGCCAGTGCTGCTCCATACTAGAGTGTATACGCAGTCAGCAAGCGTCCTGTAATCTCTGCTGAGGAATCTAAGATGTGTGCAAGTCTCCTCATGTCTTGCTGAAAACACATCAAGACTTTAGCAATGTTGACTATGGCATGCACCACTGTCAGAATTAATTTCAGAGGAAGATGCAGCTGATCAAAAGGTTTGATTGTCGTAATCTGTGCATTCTTATTCCATTGTGTAGATTAAAACAAACAAACAAACAAAAAAACAACACAGGGTTTGTATGTACACACCTCGTCCTGTTCTTTGTAGTAACCCAAATTTAGAGACACGTACACTTCATGGTATCGGTATTCATCTCGTTGTGTTCTTGTCCAGTTCCTCGTCCCATTTGTTACCTTTCATTTCAAACTGATGCTCCTCAATTTTCTTGCAAGAAAAATCTTAGCTTCTCAATTTGTTGACCATTACCCTTTTCGTGTTACCTTTTATGACTGTGCACTGCTGTACTGCTTCGGCTTGGGATGATGTGGGGCCTCCTGTGAACCCAGTGACCAGACTCTTTCTCAAAATTCACCTCTAACAAGCTGCTGTTGGCTTCTTCCTTCTCTGTACACTTAGATAACATCTCTATTATATAGTTTATATATATTTATCCCATTCCAAAGTACCAAAGACTAAATCCTGTTGTTTCGATGCTCTTGTATTTTAGTATTAATCTATGGTTTTATTTTTTATTACTGGTGTGTGATGTGCTCTAAGCTCTGGAGGGGTGTGCACGAACAGTCTGCCTACAGTGTGCCATCCATATTTATGCCTTTATTCAAACTTAGCTGTAGTGGTGGTGGCTGGTCTTAGTAAGCTTTTCATGCAGCTTTGTTGTCCATCTTTTGTTGCTCCTGTTTAGGTACTCCAGCTTAGTAGGTAGATTCATTTATCCTTGGTTTTGCCTAAGAAAATTAGTTTTCCTTCAAACACACACAAAATCTTTATTAACAGTAAGTTGCAAAAAGTTGCCATCTCATTTTAACTCTCCAATACCAGCCTTTAATAATAGATGTGAATTAAGTTTCATCAAAGAGAAATTTTCAAGTGTTACACAAGCATTGATTTTTTTTTAACTTGAGCTCCATCAAGGAGCAGTGTGCTTCAGAAATACAGAAGTATGATCGTTACGCTTGTAAAACTGTGTGTGGCTAACTTCATTACAGTGTAAAAGGGAGGGGGAAAAAAAATGATACAGAAAATCTGTAAAAGACTTTATTTTAATCCTGCAGCCCTTTTGAACATGGTGGGCGAGGCAGTGGATGTCAGTTACCTGATGGCCCATGGTGGAATAGGGCTGAATAAACCAAGGGCAAATAACTGATATGCCAGTAAGGTGTTAGCCTGAACTGCCCTTTTTCCCATGCTAGGGAATTTCAGAGAAACTTTCAGACCTTCAAAACAGTGCCAGTAAAAGTCTGTATCTGCGGACCGTTGCGTGGTTGTACAGTTAAGCTGTTAAGGATCAGTTAAGCTTGCACAAGGGATTTTTAGCTTTTATTTCCTGACTCTAATATTGAGCTTCATATGAAGCTTCACACTTGTTATCTCTTTAACGTAGAGTTTGCTAGGTAGAAATTGGTAGAGCAACGCACCAAACTTGCTTCCTAATGAGCAGCTTGGTTTTGTTCTGAGGTCACAGATTGCTCTCTGGGATTGTAGGTGTTTATTTCTTCATGCATGTGTTGTAAGCTATGGTTTAATTTGGGGGGGGTATGCACCAAATTGGTTTAGCTTGCATTTCTTGTCCTGGGAGCAGACAGTTCTAGCGTGTGCAGTTCTGTACTTCATACTCATCGGGATTTTGGGGTTTCTGTGAAGTAGCTGTGACACTGCAGAGTTACAAGCCTATCTGTATGAAGTTTCCTCAGTCTACAAGTTAAATGTCTTTAGCTGCTCCCTGCTTTACAGCTGATGCTGACTTTTTTCCTTGTGTGAAGCAAGCAGTAATAGTTTGGAAGCTAACCTAGTTTTGTACTCAAATGATGCAATTATTGCATAAAGTGCTTCTAGGCTGCCCTTTGGCATAAGTGGAGCCTGCAGATGCACCATGGGCTAAGGAATGGCTGGTTGGTGAAAGGAGGGTGAAAAGCACCCTGTCCTGTGCTGGCCCAGGCAAGAGGTGGAAGCCTAACATAAATAGGATGTTTCTTGTTAGACAGATCTCTTGTTCTGACTTTGTGTCACCTGGTGTCTTCCAAACTGAATCATGCTTGACTAGGAGATGTCTGGAAGGTCACAAGATGCTGGCTCCACTTCCTTGTTCCTCTCTGCTGACTGGAGGGAGCAGTGCATTTCAGCAAAGGGGATGAGAAAGAGCCAGCGCAAAATTTATGAGCTGTACATGGTTCAGAAAAGCCAAGCGAATGATAAACCATGATATTCTCAGTAGTACAGGAGCGAGAGTTTCCAGGGAGAGGCAGTAGCGAGCGTAACACCAGGCTTGTTTCCCCCATTGTCTAGCCAGATCTGTGATGGCTGGTTTGTTGCCGTAAGTTGTAGTGATAAAAAATGTGGATGGGTAAAAAGGGGAAAGGTGAATTTAGGGGACGTTGGTCTTCTGGGGGTCTGTCCTGTTGTATCTAACAAGTATCTGTCTTTGGAAGTTCCTGATTGCCAAAGGCTTGAGTGGGAATGCTTGCAGCAAGGAGCTGCTCTGTACTTACCCTTTGGGTGCTGTTTGTGAAGTGCCAGGCACTCGTACCTCTAAGGAGGAGAAGTGAGAGCAGGGAGCAGATGTAGGAAACTGTGGATCTAAAGCCATCAGGCAATTTTCAGGCTATGCAAGCCAGCTCTTGAGCCCTGCATTGTTATTTTGGTCATTCATCAAAGTGATCCACAAATGTAATCTCTAAACCCACACTATTTCTTCCTTCCACGCTCCCCCTCTACCTCCAAAAAAGCAGTGGCTGTGTAAGAGCATGGGTGTGTGTGTGAGATGGTAGCAGTTTAACTGTGTCCTCTTAACCGTTCAGAGTGAAACCTGTTGTTTTTACAAGGAAGTTAAAAGTAGTTTCAAGAGCTGGACCTGCTCTCCAGGTGAAAACTTACCTTTGCAAAAATGTCATGTGGAATTTCCTGCCTGTACCCTTTTGCCTGCAGTGGCTGGATGGAGGAGAGGTAGAGCCAAGTTTTTAATAATGTTAAAAAGTATACAAAGTAAGTGTAGAAGAGTGTGATACACTTTCCAGCTATGCTAGTTACATATTTTTGAGTTTGTTCTTTCAGTGCCATCTGGCTTCTGTTAGAACAAAGGCAGTGTGATTAACTGACCTTACATACTGACATATGTTCCCTTTTAATCCTGGGCAGTACCTCTAGGGCCTCATCTTAAACTGATTGCCTGGAATTAGTCCTCAAATCCCACAGCTAGCTCAAAACAAATCTTTAAAATAAAGGCATCACAAGTATAACTAAAACCCTTAGCAGTTACTTAGGTGCCACCTGCCTTGTTTCTCCCTTCTGGTGAGCACACACAGGATTCTCACATGGCAATATTAGTGATACCTAGTTGGTGCGAGGTCCCCTGTGCCAACAGGAGGAACATTCCACACTTCTGCATTCATTTTTCCTTCTGTAGCTTTTTTTTTTTTTTTTTTGAGTAAAATACTGTTTGGCTCTGCAGGTCACTTGGCCATGCAGAGTATATTTTACAGACCTGAACAACAAGCAAGTTTAGACTTTAACATTTACAGGTTTAACAGGAGTGTTGAGGCCTGAACTTCATTGAGCTAAGTGGATGGGGTTCGCGGGTCTATCATGCATCAGATAGACTGACTGTCGAAGGTGCACTGGTTAAAAATCACCTTAAATGTAAATGCTTTGGTTTGGGGAACAAACTACTGCCCAAAACAGCAAAATCTTCTGTAACGTTCTAATTCCTTGGCTTTGCTGTGAAGTGCATTACCAGCAGGATGGTGAATGCACTTAGAAATAAATGCATACTTTTTAAAAAAGGAAGGGAAGCTCGTATGCTAGTTCCAGTCTCTCCAGGTGGTAAGAGCATTCCTTCTGTTGATATAGCCCTCTTTTTTTCAACAGGTATGACAGTTCAGCGATCAGAATTACATTCTTGATCAAACTCCTACCATTAACTTGCAACCAAGCAGTCAGACTATGCCAGCTTTGTGACTCAAACCAGTAAGATTTCTTCCTGCGCCTTCCCGTCTTCCTCCCAACTTGCAGTCTGGATAACGAGCATCAGAAAAGGATGTCTAATTTGGCAGTTGTACAGTAATAGAGCAACTCAAAACTTGGAGAGAAAAAAAAAAAAACAAAACAGAGAGAGGTGGTCCTGTTGCATTTATGCAAGTCCTCTGTCAATTATGCTATTTAAATAGAAGATGTTCCACAGGTTTATCTCTAGAGTGAACAGGTCTTTTCTCTGTTGTTAGATTGGTGTGATTGACTACACCCTTGCCTGAACAAATACTTAATTCAGTGTCTTTCCCTTCACCTCTCCCCCACCCCAGTCCTAAAGCTGCTTTTCCCACTCTGTGCTTGGCTTGTTGAAATCCAGCAGCTCTGTTCATCGATGTGATTCTGTAATTCAAGCAATCTCATTTGAGCAGGTCTTTCAGCCCTGCTTTCTGTTTTGTGGATGCCTTTGCGCTAGCTCTGTCCATCTTTCTCACTGTGAAGGGGTTTTGGTGAAAAATCTGACACTGTTAGAAGCCATCACTGATCATTGCTGGCATTGTTTATATCTAGCTCTTTGGTTTTAACTAATTAAGCTTTTCTCTCTGCTTACAGGCCAAGGAGTGTGGTCAGATGCAGAACAAATGGCTCATGATAAACATTCAGAATGTGCAAGATTTTGCATGCCAGTGTCTCAACCGTGATGTCTGGAGCAACGAGGCTGTGAAGAACATAATCCGGGAACATTTCATTTTTTGGCAGGTGGGGAACTTAATGGAGCCACACGGGTAACTCGATGTCCTGATACATAGGACAGCGAAAACAGACTTCTTTGAATAAAATGGTACTTCTGTGGTTCTCTTGGAGAACTGTGGAAGAGACAACCTTTGTAGTTATGGATGTGTGTTGCAGAAGTTGCTGAGACACGCATACCATTTGTAGCATACACTGTAAAATAGCGAAAAACTTGGTACGTTTTCAAGTTGGAGTTCTTGTTCCCTCTCCCCTCAGTAACTAGCTTCCAATGTGGTATTTTGTAGGTGTACCATGACAGTGAGGAGGGCCAGAGGTACATACAGTTCTATAAATTAGCAGACTTTCCTTATGTCTCCATCCTGGATCCCAGGACAGGTAAGACAAGTAACAGTTACCTACAGTTTATGTATACAGTTGTAGGCTAGAATACTGTCTTTGGCAGTATGTATTACGTTGCAAGTAAAGCATCTCAGTTCTCTTATTTGTCCTCCAAGAGATCATCTTGTCCCTGAAGAAGTGAAAGAACTTCTGGAAGAACTAAAGGAACAAAACTCCCAAGGCTTTCTGAAATTCTATGTTTGATAATGGTACTTGGTATAGTTTATCAAATACTTTGCTTAAAAATTGAAAATAGTACCACCTGCTGGTAAAATTCTTAAATTAGTTTTTGGTGAAGTTTTTTTTTGAAGTGGCCTTTTAAAAGCTGATTGAAATCTTGTGATGAGTAAACTATCTTAGAAATAATTAAAGCAACGTACTTATTACATGAATACAGATCAATAATCCTGTGGGTTTTTTTTTTTGTTTGTTTGTTTTTTTACTAAATGAGCCAGCTTACACCTTTACCTCGAGCTCTTTTGAAATTAGAACTTTTCCATTTGAGTGACAGAACCCTTGCCTTTTCTATCATTGTAGAAGGCAAATGGTTTGTATTAATGGTTTGGTATCATGCTTCTCAGGACTGAAGGAATAGCTTCTTTCATTAGAGCAGAGTTTTCTTGCTGTTTGACTTAAAGCACCTCAAAACAATTTTTTTGTTGTTGAAACTGAAGTTCTCAGCACTTTACTTATGGAAATAAATGATGTTTGCCAAGGTGCAGAGTCAAAGCAGACATGAATGTACAAATGCTTCTTCATAAAATTAGTGTTTTCTGTTTTTTTTAATTTTGATGCCTACTACACCATTCTGCACACCTTCCCTTAGCAGAACTAAATAGAGATTATACTTACATCTGTACGTGAGTGGAACCTTTTGAAGGGGGTGAAGAGAGGAAGTTCTGTCATTATCAGGTGGTGGCCTGTAGGCAGCTGCAGTTCCACAAAAGTGGATTCTTGCATAGTGCTTGCACAGTAGTGAAATAAAATTGCTGATGGTTAAGCTGCAGTCTTAGGACGATTGTTGCTGAAAAATACATTCTATGGTGACTTACGTTCCCTAGGCCAGAAGCTAGTGGAGTGGCACCAGCTGGACGTGACTTCTTTCTTAGACCAAGTGACTGGGTTCTTGAGTGAGCATGGACAGCTGGATGGACATTCTACCAACCCTCCCCAAAAATGCTCTCGTTCGGTAAGTATGAGGACTGTAGAAACCTGGAAGAAAATCTAGTATGCCTGTATCCAGCTGTACTGACTTCCAATTCAGTAGTATAAACAGACTTCATGAATTAGTGAAAGAGTATGCAAAAATAAAAGGAGTGGTTAACCATGGACTTCTCCCCTTTTTCCTCGGTTATTATTTTTGTTACAGTTTGCACTTTCAGCATTTGTTTTGGATTTAACAGGCACAGAATTGTGAGTGTGTGGAAGGAAGATTTACTACTCCATATGAAACTCCAAGGAGGAATCATTAAGTAGTCACAGGATGACTAGCTTTCCATGCTGTTTGTTCATGACAGTTTTAGTAGCTTTCCTTTGGAGCAACTTAATGTCCTCTTGATTTTCAGTACGTATCTAAAACCATTCTAATGTCTTTATGTTGTGTCTGTATTCAACAGGAGAGTCTCATTGATGCCAGTGAGGACAGCCAGTTGGAAGCTGCTATCAGAGCCTCGTTACAGGAGACACATTTTGATTCCTCACAGGCCAAGCAGGAGAGTCGATCAGATGAGGAGTCTGAGTCAGAGCTTTTTTCTGGAAGCGAAGAGTTTATTTCTGTCTGTGGATCTGAGGAGGAGGAGGAATCGGAGAATCCTGCCAAGGTGAGGAAGTCTCCACACAAGGACTTGGGGTACAAAAAAGAGGAGAGCCGGAGGCCTCAGCCTGAGCCCCCTGCAAGGACTGAGCCTGGAACAACATCAAATCACAGAGTACTGCCCTGCATTGATGCAGGGATACTGGAGGAGTCAACTGACAAGCCTGAAAGTACGTTGCAGGGCCTAGATGTGAATGGTAAGTGGCCTCATCATTTGTTTTGTTGTTTGTTGTTTTTTTTTATAGGGACCTGCGTTATGCTTTCTTTTCTGAAAGTCTTTACATTCCAATGAGCATGGTTTCAGCCCTCGTTTTGAAAAGCTAAACCTTTTCTTCTGTCTTACTCCCTCCTTGGTATTAGATGTTCGGGCGGTTCATGTTGCTGGCAGCAGCACTTTGATGCAGTGATGCTGCAGTCATGTTAGTCACTGAGCTCGAGTTTCTTAGTTTGAGACCTCGTCTGCGAGTGAAATTCACATTGGGGTAACGGAGATGCATATGACAGGGCTTCTACCTGTGTGGTGGAGAGAAATGAAATAACAGCAGCCCCACCTCGTGCTCAGCTTGGCTGCATTGAGGGTCCGGACTGAGTTTTAGTGGTGCAACTTCAGCTAATACAAACAAATCGCAGGAGTCTCTGTTCCTCCTTGCGGTTCTGAGCTGAGGTGCAACATTGTGAGGTGGTCTCACAGGCAGAGGTAGCACGGTATGCTGTTCTCTGGAAACACTGACTGGTTTTGGTCAGTACTGTGAACTCTTCCAAGAGTCCTGAGTTTGATACGTTTATTTTAAACACATGCAGTACAAGTATGTCTTCACAGACTGAAACCTCGTGTGCTAAAAGCTTTGTATTTGTCTCCAGTCCCTAACCCTACTATCCTATGCAGTGTGCCACCTAAAATCTACAGAACAGCTCCATTCAGCTGCCTTGTTGTTTGTTAACTTGTAGTAACTTCCTTTATGCTAGGACCAAAGGCACAGCTGATGCTAAGGTATCCAGATGGAAAGAGGGAACAAATTTCACTGCCCGAACAAGCTAAACTTCTGGTGAGTGGAGTTAATTGGAATCCTTGTTTGAGTACAGGAAAGCTGAAACTGGAGAATTTCTTTTCCTATGGTGGCACTAATGAAATTAGATCTAGTGAAAGGCACTAGCAGGGAGCGCTTTCACTGTCATTCTGTTGTGTTTTTTTCCCTGTTGTTCCTCTCTTGTGATCAACAGACTCTGCTGGCTCTGTATGTTTCCATTGCTGCTTAGGTTGCATATCTTTCTTAGTCCCCAAGCTGCTAGTTTTCTTTCTAATATGACACCGAATAGCTTTTGCATTGGTCATTAAATTACCATAAAATACTCTCAGCTCACTCATTTACCTTTTCTCCAAATTGAAACATTTAGTCACTGTCTGTGGGCAGACAATGGTGAAATCGAAGGCAAAACTCCTGCTTCTTGTTCTCCATCTCTTTCAGCATGCTTCCTCATTCCCTTCTGGATATGGATGACAGTAGACTTTGGAGAAAGCTCTCCCAAAACAGACTTTTTATGGTATCATTTAATCACCGTGCTTCAGGTGTCCTTCTCAACTGTTCTTCTGTCTTGTTTATGCTGGAGAGGTCGAATACTTATGGTGTTTCCATCAGATTTTCACAGGCGTTCATCTGGAAGCAGTGTGTAAAGAGGTCACTGTATTCCTGTTAGCCATTCTGTTTTCATGACACAATGGCCAGTAAAGCTCATTTTAGTGTAAGGAACTCAAAAGCTCGGTGTTGAAGTCTAAGGGAAGACTAAAGCACACCTCTTCAGAGACCTCATGCAGATTCAGAAGGTGCTTAAAGAAAAATGTTTGCATCTCTTAAAGAAAATAAGACTTAAGAGTCCAGAAACCTCTAGAAATGTACTCTTCGGGTCATGTTTTCATCCTTTCTCTTTTGCTTGAAAGCTTTAAAAGGAAAAAAAAAAGTCTTTTTTGTTACACCAGCAGCTGTCTCAAAACCATTCAAAAGATGCAGACTGCCTGCAGGTGTACTGTGGAGCTCTGAGGATGAAAGGAAGACTGAAGGAGACACTCTTATAGTAGGAACCAGTTTTCCTGTGTCAGGACCTTCCTTCCTGCTTTGCCATAGAAGTCAACTCTGTGTGATCTTTTCAAGGTCTCTTTTATATCTGAACTGTTTTCCGAAAGCAGTCTGTTGCGTATATTATTAAACGTGGCGAACTTTTGAATATTTAAGTTACCGTTGCATATGCAACTAACTTTTTTTTTGTGCACAAGTGCTAGTAATCCATGGTTAGAGAATTAATTTACATGATATATAGGTGTAAAATTGAAGTTTTTCCAATAATCCGAACTTCTGGCTTGACTCCTTTTAATGGACTGTGGTAGTTGACAATTGGAAAATAAGTCAAATCTCAGCACGTAGATTATTCACTGTCTGCTCTGCAGGTAGCAGAGGAGTTTAGGTAAGACAGGGTTTGGTGGAGATGTGCATGTGTTGTTTTTATCATAGAACTGAACAGGCAGCTTTTGTTCTCACCTATCTAAAAGATGCGGTGGGACTCATGCAGTCTTTTAAAGCCATTTCAGTCAAATGAAGGCTGAGTCTCAGATGTTGTTTTGTGAGCATCATTTCCAAGCTTTTTTCCAGTTTAGATGCTTTCATTTTAAAGCTGTCCAGAACTATAAAAAGAAAATTGTATAAGGAAACAGTTGTACTTTGAAAGTTTTAATTGATAAGTTGACATTGTTCTCCCACCAAAACTATTTTTGAAGACAGATTTTTTTAATCCTTGCATTGTTACTGATCAAGAGTGGCTGCTTTGCGCACTGTTATCTCCAGGACATGTTTGTTTCTGATATTACTGTAACTCTTCCTTCCCCAGGCAAAAAAAAAAAAAAAAAAAGCCAAACTGCCTTTTTGTAGAAGCAGTTACTCTTTGTGTGCAGTAAGCAGTTGACTTCACTCTGTTCAGCAGCTTAGCACTTTGCATAGCTGCTTGGCTGCCTGAATAACTTCCATTCTCTAGCAAGTGTCATAGGGTGTGCAGGAAAGATTGACCTTAAAACAGGGGCAAGATGTGGGCAGTAAACTGAACCAAATCTTTAGGTACACTGGTTTGTGAGGAGTTTGGGTTATCCTTGTTGCTTGAAAAGGCAGTCCAACATACTACAGTCCTCATCAGACACAGGCATCCTAATGTGCAAAGCCTGTTGCAGAATAGTCCAGGTAAAAGAGGAGGTTAGGGGGCTACAGTCTCCTTCTCCCAAAGGTTTGCCTGTGCATTCTGATGAATTGGTAAGAAATCTTCATGTAGATTACCTTCCGAGCTGTTCTGCAGTCATCAAATCATGGGAAAGCCCATGTCGAAGAGGATGCCTGGAGACCATCTGGTGTAACCCTCTGAGGGCAGGGCTGTAGGCGAGGTTATCCAGCACCCTGTCAAGCTGAGTCTAGAGTGATTCCAGCAAAGGATGTTCCATTGCTGCTCTGAGAAAGTTACTCCAACGTTTAATTTCTTTCATGTTAAAGATTTATGTTGTTATAAACAGATTAAATTTCCTGCAGATCAGCTTCTGTGCATTGTCTCTCTTCAACATGCATCCTTGTGAAAGAAATATTTTCATCTCTGTGTCAGAACACTTGTTATATTCCCACCCAGCCATCTCTTCTCTAGACTGGACAAGCCCAAGTCCTTCAGCCTTTCTGACGTGCCAATACACGTCCAATTTTCTAGTCACTTTGATGGCCCTCCACTGGATTCTCTCTAGTTTCTTCTTGTCTCACTTGAATTTGGGGGCCAAAACTGAACGCTGTGTTCCAGTTGTGGCCCTTGACTTGCTGGCCGTACTCTTCCTGATGCAGCCCAGCTTTGCTGTTGCTGCTGCAAGGGTGCACTTCAGACACACGTTGAGCTTTGTTAAGGAGTTTTGGCATCAAGGGGTCTTGGCTTCAAGCAAGCAGCAAACTTCCCAAGACTCAGAGTTAGGTCAGCAGCTGGTACCTCAGTCCCCCCAGAAGGGTGTCCCTGCCTGCAATGTTCACTGCTTCTCCTTGCTAGTTTTGATTTACTGAGCAGGACCAGTAGATCCAGTTGAATTCCAGTGGAACTTGTTTGTCCTTGCCATTTATTACCAAGACTTCATATCTGTTTTTCAGTTGATTTTTTTTAATTTTTTTTTTTTTCCAGATGATGGGAGAGCTGCTGTTTTTATTGCCACAGGTCATGAGTCGTCAGGGAACCTTATCCCCCAAGTTGCTCTTCTCCCTGTGTGTGTTTGAGTTTTACTTCTGATCATCCTATTCCATCTACACTGTGAAGCCTCAGTTCTTGCCCACGTAGTGTTGCTACCAGCATCCTGCTGCTGCTTTCCTGCTCATCTTCCCCGGCGCAGCAGAACATGCTGACCTCTTCCTGCAGCTCCTTGAGCTGACAGCTCAGGGGTTCAACCAAAGCCTGCTTCCCACCATTCCCACCTGATCCTTCACAGCCCCACACGGGGCTGCATCCTTGTAGCCCATCACCTTTGCAAACACCTCCCTCCTCGGGTGCTCCAGCTGCCCTGGTGCCCCTGAAATGATAGAGCAGTGCCACGGGCTGCTGTGGGAGGCTGCGTCTTGTGTCAGGTCAGCACTGTATCTCTGCCGGCTTTCCTACTAGAACTGAAACGCCAAAAGGAACAGCAGCCAGTGATCTCCTGAGCCCTGTGGGTGTGAGCTGCCACAGTAACTGCCAGCCCCGTGATGGCAGACACTTTTTGCTGTACACTGGCTCGCTGAGGTCCCAGCAGGTCAGCTAAATAGCAAGTGGAAGTTGGCAGAATAATTAGTCCTAGTAGAAGTTTAACACTGCTAGCTTACCTCCTTGCACTTAATTTACTAGCTTAAGTTACTTACCAAAACTGTGTGAACAGGATTGTTGGGACTCCTGATTTCTTCATGCTTTCTGTTTAATACATACCTATTTTATTTTTTCCAGCTCTTCAAAAAGCTGCGACTTCTCATTCTGCCAGTCTTGCTCTGTTGCTGTACCCCCTGTTGTATCTTAGCCAATCTCCATTTCTCTGTTCCTGTCTGTTCCTGCTTTATCCTCTCATCTGCTGTGTTTGCTAAGGAACTTGGGAAACCTCTTGTGTAGCATGGGCTTTAGCTCCTCCTGATGCATCTGAGTGTTGGGTTGTGAGGCTGGTGGTACCCCATCATCCCAATGCCCTCTGTAGCCTGCCTCGATTGCTATTGTAGGCAGAGAAGCTGATGAATTAAAAAGTGCTTTAAAAAAACAAAACAAAAAAAAAACATGCTTCTTGAAGTCAGGAATAAAAGTATCTCAGTTAAAGAAAAAATTACATTTATTTTTGTCAGTGTTGGCTGACAAAAATACTTCTTTAGTGGCATCTAGGTTCAATAAGGGTAATGTCTAATAAGCAAGTGAGGGGGCTTCTGATTTGGGGCTTTTTTTTACTGTGACTTGAATGCATGATGTAGAATACAGATTGCTTGAATCAATGTATTGCTATGTATATATTCTGTTTAAAGAATCAGTTAGGTTAGGATTGCTTGGTAATTAGCTTCTGTGATTACTCACACCACGTGAGGGTCAAATTAGATAATAAAGTAGCAAAGTTCTACATTATATGCAAAATTTCAAAATTTTCTTTCTCAGTGATTACAAACTTTATTTTTTTTTTTTAAAGGAAACCAGGATACTTTTGCAATACTTGTTTGTGATTTATTTTTTTTTTTGGTTTGTGTAATTAAATGATGCTTCTTTGCCTTTCTTTCTGCCTAGGCTCTTGTGAAACATGTCCAGTCAAAAGGATACCCCAATGAACGCTTTGAACTTCTCACCAACTTCCCTCGAAGGAAACTCTCCCACCTGGACTATGAGATCACATTACAGGAGGCAGGCCTGTGTCCTCAAGAGACTGTCTTTGTGCAGGAAAGGAATTAGCACCGTGGCCTGAGTTCTCCCAGCCTTCCTCCTCTCTCCTCTTTGCCTAGGACACCAACTCATTGAATATGCAGTTGAGGGTCATAGGATTGCAGTGCTGAAATCAGGCAGGCAGCTGGCTGGCCCTTCTCTCTCTCTTCTTCCCTTCTCCTTGCTCTTGTGACCAAATGAGAGTGTTCAGAGTTTTATTTTTGTTCTCAGCTTGGGCCCTGCAGAGAGCATTGGGAAGAACATCTTTCCTTTGTTTTCATGGAATAAAGTAAAAGAATTATCTGTGTATCCAATATGCTGGGGCTCGCAGTGGCCATAATACACATACCCTTCTCGCTGCTATTCTTAAATCTGTTTTGTTTAATTTATATTTGAAAATACTGTGTGATAAGGCACTGAGTCATCTCTCTGTAAGGAGAGAGTGTAATCTTCAGTATGGTCTTCTCTTTGTTTTGATTCTCTGTGTGAAAGGTCTCCATTAACCTCACAGCCTTCTGAAGGGTTCACTTATCTAGCACCCTGCTAAAACTTACTTTTAGGAAGGAGTTGAGGTGAGCTGTGGTAAGGTATTCTGTCCCCGTCTACTTGAAAGGCTTCTAGGTTGCATGCACTTTTTCTTCATCCTTTAAATGCTGCCAGTGGACACTGCTTTTTTTTTTTTTTTTAAACAAATACCCTTATCAAAAAAAAAAAAAGCCTACAAGGAGAAAACAATGATAGCCTGTATGGGGTCAGCTTCTTGACCTGGAGAGAAAGCTGTGTCCACTCTTGTAGCAGAGCTGACTGACTCCTCCATACAAGCAGGGGGAAATTCCATTTGTTCTCTCCCCAGCATCCCCTTTTTACTTGCTCTCAGGATTTTACAACTGATCATGTAAGGTGGCAGGATACTGTAAAGACCTTGGACCTTAGAAAGCACGTGGTAAACTCAACAAGTAGTTGGCTTTTTCTTTCTCCATTGTGTATGCTTCCCCAGCCCCCACCAGGAGTGTTTTTTTGCAGCAATTTCAGAGCTCAGGCTGCAGTTGGGCTCAGCAAGTCGTAGGTAGGGTTCCTGTGAGTAATTCAAAACAAACACAGCCTTTCAAAACTGTGCAAGGAATTAATGCTTTATAAAAGACTTCATAGCCTGGTGGCTTGAGCACTCCAGGCTGCTGTTTATTCTTAATCTTATGTGGTAATCTGCCACCGTTTACCTCTAAATCCAGAAGACAGTATTGAAAGCTACTCCTTTATCTAGGTTTTAGTTCGAGTTACGGCAGCTGGCATCAGAAGCCCCGCGGGCATATCGTACCTGTGCGTACTCCAAGTGTCCTGCTTCCCCAGCATCTCCCCTAGGCATTGAGCTGTTGGTCAGTTGTTGTTAGAGTAAATATTACTGTGAGACGAAAGTCAATGAACACTGCCAAGATGGATGGTGAATGTGTTTGTTTACCATTAAGAATCCAGTTCAGCATCCTTTCAGGAAAAAGGCAAGAGACCTGCCATAACTGTTTCTGTAACTGTCAGGTGACTGTATGTGCTCAAAGAAAGACTTCAGTGTCAGAAATTTCTTACAGCCTGAAACTTCTCAAGATATTTTTGCCTTTAACTTCGTGCTAGCCTACATACTTCGGAGTTTTTAAATGTAAGAAGTCATACACATCTTGCAGTTCCCTGTGATAATATTAACTCACAAATGTCCCATATTGAGACTTTATACAAAATCATACAATTGTAGAAATTGATTTCCCTTCTGCATGAAGACTGGATTCTAAATTTTACTGCAGTACCATGAGAGCAAAATCTGATAGCAGTTTCCTGATCAGTGGGTGATGTGACATCAGATGTCACTGTTGGCTTATAGATCACAAGAGATCACTTTCACACTGTTAAAAAGTGAATTGCACGGCCAGCAGAAGAGCAGGGTTGTTGGTGTTTGGCCTTTGAAGCAGCAGTGCCTCTAGACTGAAGGATCCTTTGTGCTTCTGTGATACCCAAATTCATGGCTCGCACTTGGACATATGAGAGAGCAGGACAGAAGGAAACCCTTTCTGTATAGGTCTGATGCTTCCCTAGGTAGACATCAGCTCTCCAGTTGAAATAACTTGCTCTGATTTTTGTTGCCTTGAAGTTTGTCACCTCTTCTTCAGTGGCTAGCTGCAAAAAACTGAAGGTGGGCTGCCAACAGGACGCAGTACCCAGCACGAGCGTGGTCCTTTTCCTGCTCAGGCAGGCGGGGATGGGAGTGAGCTGACTTCTGTTCTCCTGCCCATGCCTCCTGCAGAAGGCAGGGAGCCGTTGTGCTGCACTGATGTCTCTCTTGAGTTGTTGTTGGCTGGGTTTGCTGGTAGAGGTCCAGCTAATCTTTTGGGCAGGCTCGGGTTTGTGTCTGTTCTGAGAACGTTGTTCCACACAGCTAGTAGGGAAGTTGAACATACAAAATTGTCCTTGCCTTTTCGGTCCTACATCTGTTTAATTGGTAGGTTCTTTCTCTGCCTTCCCCTCCCCAATTGTACATGAGGCTAGGCTGGGACTTGTGCATTTTGATGTAAAAGTAACTAACAGCTGTTAGAGGGGAGACCATTGCAGGCAAGAGGATGAACTTCAGCTCTGCTGCTCGAGACCACTCTGGCCTCATACTATGAACTTCCTTCCTGACCCCCCTTTCTCACGTCTCACTATCAAAACCACACCAGGGGGAGTCCCGTGTTAGTTTTCCATTGCCATTATGCCAGGAACAGCTCAGTCACCTCACACAAGGAAGCAAAAGTCACACTTGGTTGTGACAAGCTCATTTTTAAGCTATCAAGAAACGTGCCTCTCCAGCATGGTGAATGGTTTTGCCTGCTGGTGGAGTGGGACTGGGAGTCTTTTATTGCTTTTCCACATGTGTTTCTTGAGTTTTCTGTTTCTTGACTTTTTATTTCTATTTCTTGCAGTTTTATTTAGCAAACAGCAATCCTTTTACAACCAAACAGGGAAGGAAGAAGGGGAGGGGGAGCAAATCTACACTGAAAATGGGATTTTCTACTATCTCAGAGATGGAATCAGAATTTATTTTTGGCAGTTCCTGACAATTTGCTCTGTTCCAGGAAAAGACAAACTAGTTTGTTGTTCTTCTTGTTACGCTGCCATGATGCGTTTTCTTTCAGTTTTCCTTTGCTTCGATCTGTAAGCAGGAGGCAGAGAAAAAAATTTGAAGGGAGAAGTGTCCCTGCGTGTGGCTCCTCTCTCCCTTCTTTCCTCTTCCCTTTTCCCCTTCTTCCTGCCCTCCAGTGGAAGCGCACACGTCAGCCGGCTGTGCTCCAGTGGCTGGAAGCCTGGCTGGAGGCCAGGATACAAACTCTTCAGATTTTCATTCAAAGCTCTTTGGAGTTGGGAGGAATGTGTTTTGCTGCCCCGAGGAATGTGGCTGAACACATTAACCAAGTTAAGCGTACAGCCACTTGTAACTGAGAGCGTAAGCCAGCTGAGCTCAATTTAAAAAGAGCCTTGGTCACCGTTGCTTCTAAGTGTTAAAGGTGAAGTTCAAATTGCTCTTGACAAGGTTGGAAAAAACACCTTAAATCTTCAATTGCAAAAGTTGATGTTTGAAGGACAAAGCAGAGACTATGGTTTGTGGCTTCCTCTGGGTGTTGCCTGGCCACAATTTGCAGATGTTGAAAGCGCTGCTGTGAGTTCAGAGGAGCAGGGTTGTGTTTGAACGGTGGAAGGCTTTGTGGTTAGAGAGCTGAACAGAACTCGTGTGCTTCAAGCCGCAGCTTCTCGCTGCTTGCAGCCAAATCTTTGCACGTGCTCTTCATCCGACTTGTTTTTGTTTGACATTTATTGTCTAATAACAGCTAATCGTGCATAGTCGCTGCCAGCTGGTATTCAGAAGGGAAAACGAGCACTGGCTTTCTCTGCCAGGTGCTTTGGCACATTTGCTGCTGGCTTCTTCAGAGGCCCTGGGGAGATGTGGGCTCTTCCTCACCATGCCTGCTCTCAGTCAGGCTGCCCAAGCAGCTTCCACCTCTCTGCATTTCCTCCTGATGCAAAAAAGGCAGCTAAAAGCTGTGTCAAAAGCTGCTGGGTATAATGGTGTTGTTTTCATTAGGCTTTGAATTGGAGTCTGCAATTTTACATTTCTGGCGTTTAAGGTCTGCACATCGCCCTTTCTGATAAAATCAGAGAAGTTGATAACCTCAATATGAAAAGAATGTGCGTGTGTGTGTGTAACAGCATCGTAAAACACGGTTGTCTACAAAAAGGTATCAAAAGGTACCAATTTTCATGCACAGACTTAAATGGCCGTGCTGATCACGCATCAGCATGCTTTCCAGAGCTCACCAGATCTGCTACGTTGCTGTTACAGGAGAATAATGCCGCGGCCGTAACGCACGTCCCTTGTGGGCTGCTGCAAGCAGCTCGTGTTCGTGTGTCCCACCCGCTCCACAGGCGTTTTTTTGAAGACTGCCAAACGAGCTGCTGCCAGTGTGCACGTGGCTCTGCACCAGGGCACACCAGCTTCCACTTTCACTGGTGCTGTGGCTTGAATATGTGCTACCATCAGAAACTGGCAGCTGGTTTTAGTGTTTTAATGAACCAACCTCGCTGCTGGAGGGCCTGGTGTCTCCAACAGAGCTTTTAGAAAACTTCCACGTGTGCTTTGCTGCTTGGCAACCTTCTGACTATTGAAAATTTCTGGCATTCAGTATAATTGAGTCCTTGATAACTGAGTGGTAAAGTTAATGGTGAGAATGATGGCTTTCCTCTCTAATTCTTTGAATCAGCAGCCCTGTCACTGTGCAGGAGCTGTTTGAACACAGCTGCCCTGTTGCAGAGGGTGCAAGGCATCGTTCGCAGCAGGTGCGGGCAGCTCGTTGTGGCTGGTTTGAGGACAAGCTCCTTGTTTTGGGGAGCTGGGAGGCAGAATCCTGGCTCTTTCAGTTTGTTCTCATTTAGTGTTCAAGCATTAGGTTGGGTTGTGGGAACTTGAGAGCAACACTCAAAGCCGTCTTTGGGGACAGAAAGGGACAGCGAGGCCTCACTTCGGCTGTGTTTTGACAGGTACCAAACACAACAGAGAAAACACAAAATGTGTCTTTTTCTAAACCACATAAAGCGGAAAACAGAGACCTATATGGGAACATCCAGGCAAATATATGTCATTTCTGGGACTTGAAGTGGCAGGTTGTTACTGTGTTTTTCTTTCTCATAAGCTTTCGGTAAAGTCCACAGCTTTATTCTTGTTTAATCCCTTTTCAATCAAATTAATAATAAATAACAGCCCTGTACAGTAAAGAGCAGGGGTTAGCTGAAATTTAGGTGAAGTGCAAAGCCTCTCTTGGAGATTGGATATGCTTTGTCCAGCTATTCCAACAGATTTGAACACAGCCCCGCTTCTCCCTCATCCTTTTTATTAGTAATAGAAAATTTCCATACATGGAATAGCTGTTGTTTTAAAGGGAAGGCAGAACTCACATTCCGAGCCCTGTATCGGCCACCTATGTAGTTGGAAATTCCCTCGGTCATGTTTGGAGTTGATGTAAAAGCATTTGGGTGGCAGCTGCTGAGGACTGCGCAAGCTGTTGCTTGCCGCTCCGCAAAGGGTTGCCTGTGGCTGCAGACATCCTGCTGCCCGCGCCCAGCCTGCGAGGTTAATGGACACCCTTCTGTGACGTGCTGCGAGATGACTTCAGTTCCGTGAGGTGCTTGGTGTCTGTCTGCTCCCCATAAATATAGCCATATGTATATATGTACACGCGTTTTTAGCCAGAGAATGCAGCACTTAACTGAGGCAAGCTGAGGCACTGCTGGTTTATCTTCTGTTTTACACCGGGCTGTTACGAGTAGTTGCAGAAGTTTGGGATTTGGTCACTGTCTTTAATTACTGTGAGTGTCTGCAGTACAGAGAAGAGTCATTTTGTAACTGCCTGTTAAATGGTGCTGAGAATTCACGGTTTAGAAGGCTAGATAGTAAAAGTACATGGAGCAGGGGGACGAGGTGCTATTTTATAGAACAGCTTTATATGAAACAAATCTGGGTAAAACTCGCCTCGGAGGCGTGGTGTCTAACCAGAGACACTGGACTATAGGACAGATGATTTTCTAAGCAAGGCTCTTTCCTCTGATGGGTGAACTTACAGTTTCAAAATCAGGGCTTTGCCTGTCGGTTTTTACGGTAGTCATTTTTTCCTTCAATGATGCAACTTCACGCTGGAGGAGGGGGAGAATTAATTTGGAAGTTTTCAGCTCACTGTGCTGGGAGGGACCAAACTCAAGGAAACCTCTGATCTATATACACAACTGCTGCATTTTTTTATAAATATATGTAAATGTCCTATTGTAATATTTGATCCTGGAAATAAAACAAACTGTTTTCAGTAGCTTTCGTCATCTCTTGAGTTTTTTGGTTTGCTTGAAGTCTAATGATGGTCTGTCCCTGCATTATATGGAGAGTTTGGGGTTTTTCCCCTAAGTTTATGGAGTAGAAGGAAAGAAAATGAAGCTGAGCTCCTTGTTCCTGTGTATCTGACTTTTCAGTAAAATTGTCAGCCTGGGTACTTGTGTTTTGCTTACTTGTCCGTGACCTGGCAGAATAGGTCAAGGTGCTGTAGAGGTTTCTGTTGAACCTCTGGAAAGTTTGCGGTTTCCCTATCCTACCTGTAGCTGCTTCTGCTGACCTTAAGAGTTCCACAAATTAAGTCACAGAGACTGCAGCTTGGCTGAAAACGGTAAGTCCAAGTGTTTATTATTTCTGTACTAGCTCCAGTTCTGCCTGACCAGCAAGAAAGGGACTTGCCTGAATTTGTAGCAGGTTGGCAAAGTGAGTTTGAGAATAAACAAAGTGACCACAGTGGAACGCGTCCAGTTCCTGCTGATGAGGAACTGTCGGTTACCGCAAGCTGCTTGCCTAGACCAACAAAGTTTCAGCCTGTTCTAAAGCTAATAAAAATGTCAAGTGAGAGATACTTTTTTTTATATTTTGACAGGAAATACCCTTGTAAAAACAAGTAGAGGCAGGGCTGCTCCTGTTTTCTGTCCTTCCCAAGGGAAGAGCTGAGACATCTTCCTCTTCTGAACCTCCGACGTCCTCGTGGTACAGATGCTGTGAAGATGGAGCCCCCCGCTTCTCCAGTTGTCTTGTGGGCTCCTTGGGATGTTTTGTAGCAGCCTCACACAAAATGCCAATGAGCAGAGTCTCTTCTGGATGAGTGCTCAGCAGCCACAGTGGGGCAAAAAAGGCCAAAGAAACTGATCTTGGATCATCCTCATGTTGCTGACTGTAGCTAGGTCTCCACTGAAGCAATAATTTCAGCCACTGCCCCAGTTTCAACCTCTTTAAGCAGCTCTCCAAAAAGTTACGGAATAGCGTAACTCTGTCAAGTCATCCTAAAGCCTTAAACTAGTGTTCACCATGACAATTATCCAGTGTGTGCTGGAAAAGAGTAGATGTGCTTGGTTTGGCACATCCAAATCCAAGGCTTTCTCCTTTATGGGGGGCTCTGGGATCTGTGATCGGGCCCTTCTGGGAGGCGCTGACCTCCAAAGGAGAAAGCTCCTGTGGTAGCCAGCTCTCTGGGGCCACCTGGGAAGTGACTTTGGCTCTTGTTTTCAGCACATGCACCTCTCCTCACTATGTTACAGAAAGACAGCTCCGCATTCTGTGACAAAGACTTGCTTGTGCACCTCTCAAAGCTGGAAAACAACCTGATCCCTTCATCTAGCCAAGGAAAATATTTTCCATTCTGACGGAGTCGGAAATACCTCTTCATCACAGTCAGGCAGCTGCAGCATAGACTCCTAAGATACCTTTTTTTAATGTATTTGGTTTTCCTTTCAGCAGATGCCTTCCAACTGCATTGATTTACCCGATGTGCTAAATCTGTGGCATTCCTAAGGAAGTTAAAGCAAACATCGTGCTGCCCAGCAGCATCATGTTGGTATTTCTTCTGTCGGGTTCTTGCCACAAACAGTGCAGGTCGTGTCAAATGGGCTTACTGAACATGCCCACACCTGGGGTCAGAGAAGTCTTATCTACTGGTGGAAACAGATTTATGTGTGCTACCAAAAGGAGCGGGAGAGACAACTGAATCATGTAGAGTATCTGGGCTGGACTGGGGTGGAGTTTGGCTTTGTCCAGGATGATTCCAGCAAAGAGTGTCTCCATAGCAGTGATCTTGTCCATTCAAACTCATCTTGGCCTCTTCGATTCTTGTCGAAGCCAAACTGCTGTTGAAACCTAACCTGCCATGCAACTTCCACAGCCCCAGAGGAGCTTAGGGAAGCAAAGACCAGAAGAAGAGCACGATTAAGAGAGTGGATGCTGTAGTTACAAAAGGCTCACAGACCTCGAAGTTCAGAAGGAGCCATCGCCAAACATGATGGATTGGAGAGGGACAGCCCGAAGTGTGACAGGCTGAAGTGCCATGAAACAAGTAGGTGAAAAGTTGGTCAGCATCTATTTAGCTGCGTCTGCTGTCAGAGGAGTTGGTGTGAGGATCTCGCCAAGCCACAATCACTTTAGGTGGGACCATGCTTGTCAGCATGGTGGCTGGGTGACTTGGCAGTCAGTTATTTGACTGTAATTTCTGTGCTGATGAGCTGATTTTCATAATTATGTTCTCATGCTAGGAAGGGAGACACGCAGCTGCTCAGGAGGCTGTTCTGTTCCAGGCAAGGCTAAAATTAACTTTTTCTCATTATTGTTATGGACTTGAGCTGGAGTGGGTGGAAGGGGAAGGTCAGCCTTCCCAGAGCAAAGATTCAGTCTGACGTTTCATGCTGAATGGCATGGGGCTTTCTGTGGGACGTGATTGACCTGATCATGTGTGGCAACGTAGGAAGCTCAGATTGCCATGACGTAGAAAAGGGCACAAGATGAGGTTGCAACACATTTTATTCCAGTGGAGTGAAAAATGCTTCCCCTCAGTCTGTGTAAAAAGTAGAGAAAGGAGAAACTGGATTATTCTCTGCTGTCAGCTATCCTACACGAGACTGGCTACTCTGTACTGCTGACTGCTTTTAGAGACCGATGCCTCTTATTTAAGAATAAAATGGGGATTTACGTGCTGGTGCAAACTGTGATTTTCCTCTCAGAGTAACTATCAGGTTATTCAGATAATCTGCTCCTCTCAGACAGTTTTCCATACAAAAAAAAAGGAACTGTCTGATGTAACCCAGCATTGTCTGTTCATTTTTTCCATGTGGAACTCAAAGCTTGAGCTCCATTCTCCGTTTCTGCCCTATTAGGGCAGGTTCTGTATTCTCAGTATTCATATCCTAGTTGATTTGAAAGCAGAAAAAGCCATTTCGAAATGTGTTGGCCAACACATTACCCTAAGCAGAGCAAGTTGGGTTATACACTGTAAGGTGGCTACAGGTTGCCCTCTGGTTCCTATTTTGTCTACTGTGTTAGAGGACCTGTGGCTGTTGCAGACGGGGAAGTTCACATCCCAAGCAGCTGATGTGCCTCAGGTCCCCCTGATAACCCCACGAGGAGTGTAAGCTTTCTCCAAACGCTGCTTTGAGAAGGTTCTTCCTTCTGCCTATATAACCTACAAGCAATTCTCCTCTTTGCTTGTGCTGTCTGCAACTCCTCTGCCAGAAAATTGCTCTGCTTTTGTGCTGTGGCCTCCCTGCCTGCTGCTCTAGGACACAGAAGTTGTTTTCTCCCAGTCCCTTTTCATGTCTTGGAGCTGCCATGGTCAGGCCTCCTCTGAGGGCCCACGAGTGTGATCTTCATACAAAGCTCTTGCTCAGCGGGTGAAGCGAGGGGAAACGCGATGGAAGAAGCCCTTGGTGGAGGCCGTGGACTTGTGGTAGCAGAAGGATTGCATTTGGAGTGGGCTGCAGAGGAGAGGGAGATTTGTTTTTGCAGAATCCCACTCCAGAGCATCTTCTGGTCTGGCACCAGTCCCTCCTGGTTCAGGTGCTGCTGTCCTCCGCAGCCTGGGGCCTGACGCCTAAACGGGCCGTGTGGGCCCAGCAGCCGCCATGTGGCAGATCAAGGCTCCAGCCAGCGGGTCCCTTCCAACTTGGGATATTCTATGATCCTATAACGTGGGCTGGGCCTGGGCATCCCCTTGGCTGATGCCCGGTGCCGTTTCTGAGGAGTGGAAGGTGTGGGCGAGGCCGTGACGGCCCACCACTGAAAGCCTTCCCAGGCTCCTTGGGAGGCATTGAGTTGGAGACGTGGCTGGAGAGCCAGGTTTTTGGAAAGAAGGTGGGAAGCCAGGATGTTGGTGGCATCCTGGAAAAACTGATCTTACCAGAGCTGTCTGTGGCAGCATTACAGCTTCTAGTGAAGGTTTTTGGTGGCGAGATCATGCTGCAGTTTCAGTTTCCACAGGTTGAATGTGGCCCTGGTGGACGTGTCTTTTCATCCTTCAAGCCGTTTTTTCAGTAACTGCACTGGCCAGTGCCTTGGGAGCTCTCATCCACTCTGAAACCCTTCGTCAGCTAAAGCCACATCTGCTGCTGTCTCTGACACACCACAGCAGTGTGACAAAGGATCAGACACCACCTTACATAAGAATGAGTCCCCACAAGCAGCGAGGCACCGTTGCGTTGCACATCCACTGTAACCCTGCAACATGGTCTGAGACGGCCCTTAGAGCACACCACACCTGCTCTGAGTGAAACGTTAGTGAGGTTTCTTCACCAGCTGAAGAGCACGTACAGGATTTGCTCTCCCCACTGGCCTTGTATCAGCTCTTTGGCCACCAGAGCAGGGTGCTGGAGAGCACAGACTGCTTGTATTTTCTTGCAGGTTGCGGGGTTGGTGGTTCTCCCCATGCCAAGGGGATTGTGCTGCTCCTTCTGCCTGGCTCTCCGTGCTCGTTTGCTTTCTGGTGTCGCTCCCCGAGAGCTGTCCTTCTTAGGGAAGGAAATCAGCTGGCAGGGGCTGCCTCATTCGCAAGGAAGAGTCATTCTTCCTTTTGAGCCACTGCTTGTGTGGGAGAGGTACGGCGCATGATGCGGTGGGTGGACCTCAGGGTGGAAGAGGAGGATGTGCAGAGTGTGCTGGGACAAGATAAATAGAACCCATGGGTGCTGCCTCCATATATTCTCTCAGGACAGAGCTCCTCCCAGGGGGATGCTGCTGGCTCACACTGGTGACTTCTCCCAGCGTTGCTGCCAGGTAAGCCAGGAGGAAAGGAGGACAGGTTCCCAGTGCTTTCCTTGAATCCCTTTCCTTTTGTCCGTGGAGGCATGCTAACAGGGAGGGTGTCTTTCTTGCAAACACGCTAACAGAGCTTGCATCTGCTGCACTTTTGCTTTTACCTTCTTCCCCCGTTGGGGTGTGTGTGTTCCCCTTTAGTACACGAGGAAGAAGGAAATAGCTAATGCCAACCTGCTTCTGGCTCAAGGGGAGTGCTGGGGGACAGCAAGTGCAGGGCCTATGGGGCCACCATGCACTGGGAGCGCAGCCCGAGCTGTCAAGAAAAATTCAAGAAAATTTCTTGACCGCAGTAGATTGGTATTAATATTGAGTTTAGTTTGAATAAGTAACTAATCACGTGGTCTTGTTGCTGCGATCTTTTTGTTATTTTAAAAGCTTTTGCGTAGACACATCCTGGTGGCTGATGAGCATGGGGATAGTTGTTTTCTTTGTTTGTTTGTTTGTTTTTTGTTTCTATCTTCACTCTTACCTGCAGCTTGCACGTGCAGTTGTGCCCCATGTAAAACACCCCACGGCTGCAGTGCAGGGAAATGGCATTTCCATTGGAAGCTCCCTGTGAGGTGGGGGGCGGCAGTGCGGGGTGTGGCGGTGGGGCTGAAGGCAGCCTTGTCCTCTCCTCCTCCTCCTCCCCATCCCCGTGCAGGCAGGCCATGTGCGTGGGGAGGTGCAGCCGCATCGTGGGCCCCTGCCTGCTGGTACTGGGAACGCTCTCTGTGATAGCCAACATCCTCCTGCTCTTCCCTGGTGGGGAGTGGAAGTACCTGGCAGACGGGCACATCACCAAGCAGGCCAAGGTCATGCCGGGCATCTGGGGAGGAGGCATCACCGTGAGTATTGTGTTTTGCACAGCCTCCTCCATCCCTCACGTGTGATTGTTTCTCCCCCAAACCATCTCCTCCGTCCCTCAGGTGCTGCTGGTGGCGACCCACATCACAGCGGTGGGGTGGCGATGCGCCGGCTGCTCCGACTGCGGCACCCGTCGCAACGTAAGGCAGGGCTTAAATTGAGGCCCCCCAAGCAGCACGGGGTGGGTGGGACGTGGTGGGGTGTCCCCTCTCCTGTGGGCATGTGGTGGGGCACTGCGCGGTGACCCCTCCCTGGAGGACAGGGCTTTGTGTGGGCTCCCAAATTCTACCCAGCCCCAAGCCCTGTGCTCCCCACAGGCCTTTCTCTCCGCCGTCCTCTCCAAGCTGGCACTCCTGGGCTCCACCGTCTGCTTCATCCTGTCTGGGGTGGGCCTGACCAACGGCCCCCTCTGCCTCTACAATGACTCTGAGCACGGCCACGGCCCCACCTGGGGATACCCTTTCTTGGACACCGGTGGTGAGGTGTCAGACAACAGGTACAGGGCCCTCATAATGCAGGCGGTGAAATGAAAGTGGCGTTTCAGCTCGTGGCTCATCCTCTTCCTCCCCCCCGTGGCACAGGGTGTTGGCGTCGGCAGATTATTTCCTGTACAAGCCGGACACCTGGGACACCTGCCTGGAGCCGGTGGGCATCGTGGCCTGGAATGTCACCTTCTTCTCCCTCCTGCTGCTCGTCAGCGCCACCGAGATGGTGCTGGCCTCCGTCCAGATCCTCAACGGCTGTGTTGGCTGCCTCTGTGGCTTCTGCGAGGGGAAGCAGGGCCGCCCCACACCCCTGGACTGAGCGCTGGAGCTGTGCTGGTGTGCACGGGGCTCACTGCAGGTGCTGGCGGCTGGAGGCTGGCCTAGGGACAGAGGAGGAGAAGCGGATCCCGAACATCGAGGTATGGGAGCAGGCACAGGAGGGATGGGGGGCTCCTGGAGGGACCTCGTTTAGAACCTCACTGGAAATGGGACGACGGAGCAGCTGCTCATCCTGACCAGCCCAGTGGTGCAGAGCCCAGTCCCCATGGCCCCTGGGGCTTGGCTGCGCTCACAGCGAGCGCCACCGCCTTCAGCACGTCCTCATCCCTGCCCGACGCAGGGGCAGAGCACAGGGGCTGCAGGAACAGCAAGTACCTCTTCTTGGAGCATATTTGCACATGAACTGGTGTGGACAGACCCAACACAACTGGTCAGGCCGAGAGGAAAGTAGCGGTGACCATGGTAACTTAAAAAAGCAGTCAGCCGGATCACACAACAACAAGGAGATTGAGATTTTGATGAGAGAAATAGGGCTGGAAGTAAGTATTCAAAAGGAAGAAGAGAAGGTGCATAAGCAAGTGTGCCTGTGAGAGGAGAGGCCATGGCATTGTGCCTCAGCAGCCCCGACCTGCGGCACCCCTGCTAGTGCCGCTCAATTTGTGTTTCACAGATTGATGGCTGACTGAGTGGTCTCGGGAAAGCAATAAGCTGCTTTCCGCAGGTGAATCAAAGGGTTTTTTGCAGTGCCAAGGACCTGGCTGTGAAGCTTGCTCACTGGCAGGGTGCACGGAGGGGCTGCTGAAATGCCACCTCCACCACTCTGCGCCGATGTGAAGCTGGAAGCAGGAGGGAGAAGGTCATTAGGGACCTGTCCTTTATTTGGAAGGATTCTGGGTGGAGGAGGAGAGGTGCAAGGGCAGCGAGACAGAGAGATAAAGGCAGGGATAGCATGGTAATAATAGCATGAGCCTCTGAGTCCAACCACCTCTATAATTAAAAAATAGCAATACAAACGAGATAAAATCCCGTGTTGGGACAGGAGCACCAGCCCTCAGCACGGTCCAGCCCAGGAGGCTGGAGGAGCCCCCAGATCCCACCCCGGTGTACATCAGCAGAGCTCGCCCTGCCACAGGGTCGTGCCAGGCTCTCCCTGCGTGCCACCAGACGTGGAAGGCGGCCAGCCCCCACGTGCCCACAGCCAGCAGCCCAGGAGATGCGGTGGGTGGCTCTAGGAGACGCAGCAGCTCCTTCGCCTCCGCTTCCTGCAGGGCACTGCAGCCGTCAGGGGGATGTTCTGGAGCACGTCGTGCAGCGTGAACATGCTGAAGGAGATCTGCTCGTAGGGGGACCGCTTCCCGTTCTCGTAGAGGCAGGCAAAAGCGATGGCTGGGCCACCAGAGATGGGGGCCTGGCTGTGGGGCAGCTCCATGTAAGCCAGGTCCGAATACGCGCTCGGGCCCTCGTAGATGACCCAGGGTTCGGTCCAGCTCTCTGCGTCCCTGGGGAAGGTGCTGAGGTGAACCCCCATGTTGACCCGCGACATGGGGCTGGTGGGGTGGGAGTAGAGCACCCACGTTGGTGCTTGGAAGAAGGTGCCGGGGCTGGAGGTGGCTTTGGGGTCCACGTGGAGCTTATCCCCTGCTGCCCTCAAGGCAAGCAAATCCCGAAAACGGGGGAGCGGCCGTGGAGCTGAGCCTTGTCCGGGGACATCAGGGGGCTGGGGGCCGTACACAAAAGGCGCGGGGAAGCCGATGACACTGCCGTGGCACCCGTGGGGGGGCTCGACCAGCCGCTGGACCAGCTGCCCCCCGTGGAAGACAGCCCCATCGTCGGTGCTCAGTGCCTGCACGCGGAAGCCCAGGGGGCTGCGGGCGTTGCAGTAGAGGACATTGGAGCCGTCCTCCTCATCCACCGAGACCAGCTGGCACTCGCCCGTCTGCAGGTTGGGGATGAACTCCCCAAAACGCCAGCCCCGGCCGTGGTCGTCGCTGTAGAAGGCGAAGGAGTGAGGGGTGGTCTTGCAGAGCTGCCCGAAGCACTCCTTGCAGTCAATGTGGTAGCTGTAGGCGGGCACCAGCAGGCGGCCGGAGCGCAGCTGGATCCCATGCCCGGGGCCCAGTGCAAAGGTGGCCCAGTCTGGGGACAGGGGGACGAGCGTGACGAGCAGCCCCCGGCTCCCCCGCCACCGGTCTGCTCTCTCCATCTCCCCCGCTCTGCTCAGGCTCCTCTTCTCCCTCGCCCCAGCTCAGCCCTTGGACCCTCGCCCGGTCACAGCCGGCCCTTTTTCCCCTGCCTGCTGGTGTCACTACCTTTGATGGCCCTGCCGATGACCTGCTGCGTCAGGTCTGTGGCCTTGCTCCAGCTCAGCCCCTGGTCGGCACTGGTGACGCAGCACAGGCGGGTGACGTTCTGTCCCGTGACAATCTGGAAGGCTTCGGGTGTCCTGCCCAGCACCGTGATGAAGAAGAGGAAGAGGGTGCCCGTGAACTCGTCGTAGAGCGGGCAGGGATTCATCGACCGGTGGTGCTGCAGCGCCGCCGTCTCGAGCACCCGCATGTCTTCCCACTGCACGGGGACGGGGCAGAGCGCTCAGCCCACCTCCCCAGCCCACCCCAGGCCTGATCCAGCCCCCGCCGCCGTGTCGGCCCCGCTCCCACCTCCACATAGCCGCCGTAGACGGTGCCGCGGCGCAGCACCAGCAGGTTGGCGTGGGCAGTCGTCGGCGCTCAGCCGCTCCTCGGCGAAGGCCAGCAGCTTGGCCACGCAGGGCAGGTAGAGCAGGGCCGGCACGCGGTACGTGACACCGGTGGTTCTCCTTCTCGAAGAGCACGGTGCGGGCGGGGAAGTGCCGGGAGCCCATGGTGCCTGCGGCAGAGAGAGAGAGGGGCGGCCTGGCCGCGGGCAGGGGGCTCGCTGGCGCTGCCCCTGTCCAGGGGGGGGGTTTGGGGAAAGGTGCTGGGCAGGACACCACGTGGAGTGGGGCAAACTGAGGCTGGCAAGGGCTAGGGTGGGAGCTGTGGCAGGGCATCAGAGGGGGCAGAGCTGTCCCTGCGTGTCCCCCTGCACGTCCTTGGACCTGAGGGATGGGATCCCTTGCCCCTGGGCACGGCGGCTGCTGGTTTTGCTCTCCAGCTCTCGTCCCCCTCTTTCCAAGCCAGAGCTGTCACTAGAGGTTTCACGGCTGAGCCACGCTGGCAGGTGGGAGCCCTGGCTGGCCATGAATGAAGCCACCGAGGACTTGGGCTGGTCCTGCTGGAGCGAGGGCTCTGCCCAGGGAAGCTCCATGGCCTCTCCCACTCCCGTCAGCATCTCCCCTTTCTCCGCTGCATTCCCACAGGGCAAGGGCTGGGTCTGCTGCCCACCCCAGGCTGCTGAGAAGGGCTCTTGCCTGCATTTTGCCCAGCGCCCCACGGGGAAAGCCCAGGCACTCACCCGGTCCTGCTCAGTGCAGGGCAGCCGCCTCCATCCCCTGGCAGGCGTTGGGGCGATGCTGGCTCCTGCAGCGCCGGCTGCCTGTACAGCCTGTCCCCAGCCGTTCCTGTCCCCCAGCGAAACGTCACGGGGCTCCCGCCGTGGCCAGCGGCCGGCAAAAAGCCCTGAGTCAGCAGCAGCACAAAGGCCCCATTATCAAGCAGGCAGAGCCCGGGCCCCTCAACGTGCATCTGCTGCGCTCTCAGGGCCGCAGGGAGGGAACACCGAGGGATGAGGGATGAGGTCCCTCCTGCCTTAGTTTCCTTGCTCAACCCCGGGAGCAGTGCAGGCTGTTGGGATGTTGCTGGGGTTGGTGGAGCAGAAAACCCATGAGGGTGCCATTAAGCACTGCGTTGTTCCTGCCCTGCGGCGCGCAGTCTCGCTAGGTGCAAGGCAAAGGCTGCATCTCCACTGGCCTGTTTGGCCTCATTGCAGGACAAAAACATAAAACACACCAAGGTGCATGGAAAATGCCGAGTTTGTGAGAATAAATGCTCCCCACCTTCTTTCCCTCCCCCCAGTGCTGTGGGGCTGGAGGCAGGGGATCTGCATGGCAGGCTCCTGCCTCCGCTGGCCTTGGGGCTGCTGGGTTGAACCACAGCCATGGAGCTCCCCTCCGGCCCCGGCTGCACGATGTGCCCGCTCCTGCCTGCTTCACCCTCAGGTGGCTGCTGAAGCCCCTGAAGCAGCCCCAGGGTGGCCATCACCCCGTCACTACCCAGGACGGCTCGATGCCTTGCGTGCTGGTGTGGGGTAAATCACTGGTTATCAGCGGCTGCTGCTGCTGTTCCCAAACATTCCCCAGGCACATCCCTCACAGCCAACCTGCACAGTGCAGGAGGGAGAGGAACCTGGTTAAACTTTGCCATCCTGCCCCACGGCTGGTGGCAGGCGCAGCAGAAACCGGGGGTGGGCTCCAGAAACCTGCGCTGAGCCCAGCCACTGAGTGAGGGCAATCATTAACAGCAATGACACCAAAACTGTCACTCCCCAGGAGGGTTTGTCCCATGAGGGTTTGATTCCCATTGTGAGGTGATGCCTCCCTGGATCCCTTTCCTGATCGGCATTGGAAGTTTGGCCACAGGAGCAACGGGATGTGATGAAGCCTCTGCTGATGATAAAATGTTGATGCTGCTGGCCTGGAGACCTAAGTTCTTTCCTATGCACCTGCTCCTTCAAGTACCGCATTCCCTTGGTGAGCTCTTGTCCTTATCTCCCCCCAGTTTTTGTCTCCTAAAAGCAGAAAATTGAGACTCGCTCTAGTGAGCCGTAACCAGCCTGGAGGTAATGACTGCTATTAAAAATGGTCAAATGCAAACCAAATTATTAAGTCCCTGATTAATGATTAAGAGGAAGGAAAATCTAATGCAGACTGAAAGCCTGCCAGCTCCAAGGAGCACTGGGCTGTCCCCTGTGCGTGACAGCAGCAGCACACCTCTGAGCGGCACGGACCTGAGCATTATCTGGCCGAGTCCCTGGCTGGAGGCGTTTTGGGACCTGCCTCAACCTTGGTGAGCTAGGAAGGAGGACTGCAAGAATGTGGTGGGCTCAGTGCCCCGGCGAGAGGGGAAGAGAGGAACGGGTGGCACTCACCTAATGACAGAGGTGGTAAAAGTAAATAAATAAAAGTTTTGCTTTGTTTTCTTTTGTTTTCCATAAAATAAAAGCCAGAGAGTGGAGGTAGCTCTCAAATGACCCCCACTCCCCAGTCTCCCCCTTGTGTCCAAGAGTCTCATCGCCAAACCCCAGCGATGCAAAGGGCCATAGCAGTGGGATGCTGCAGGAGCTGGCACACGCTCTAGTTTTGTCGTGGAACCTGTGTCTTCTCCAGGGAACTGTTCCACGGCAAGGCACGGTTTAATGGCTTCCTCTTCTTGTGTGGGTGCTGACGGGAGTAAAGATAGGACATGTACTGGAGTTCTGGCGTAATAATTTTCTGGCAGTTTTTCAGAGTCTTGTTGCTTAAGTCTGGTCTGATGTTGTACCCGAGGATATTTGCATCCCCCGACTGAAAAGGCAAGAAAGTTTTGTCCTTGATGCGAGTCTTCACCACAGCCTCTTGGCCCAAGAGGCAGGTCTCCATGAGCTCCTTCTGTCTCATCCGCAGGTGATTTACCTCTTTCTCCAGCTCCTCGAGTCCTATGGTCTCCTCAATTCTCCTCCAGAAGCTCTGGTTGAAGTGCAGGTAGAGGTTCCAGTCGAGCGAGCACCACGTCTTTATCCTCTCCCTGCTTTCTGCAGTCAGGGTCTGGACAGTGTCATTGCTTCTGGAATTGAGCTTAAAATAGATCACATCATCTAGATCCCAGCACAAAGTGTGCTTCAGGAGGATCATGGACTCATCAAAGTAGTCTGCTATCAAGATCAGGTGGAAGTTCTGTTCAATGTCCTTTAAGACCTCCTGGGTGTAGTTTTTGTTGTCCTCTGCATTGTTATCATAGCCAAAGTCAAACCACATGATATTCTTGGCATAGATGTTTTTCTTGTAATCCTCCTCACGGTAATATTTCAAGGGTGATGCCAGGTACTCATTCACGTCCTTGGATCTATTGAAGGCAGGGACCATGTTCTTGTAGTAGACGTAGGAAGATTCCAGCAGAAAAATGGGGTTCCTCAGGATGGAGAAGTAGAAGGTGTCCCCTGCCATCACCTTATGCACCTGTTTGTGGGGAGGAAGAAGAGGGGCTGTTAGTCCAGAGGCCCTGTTTGTTCAACCACGTACCTCCACAGGTGCCATGGCTCTTACCTCTGACGGGTTAAACCGCAGGTGGTTGCCCATGATGTTGTAGTTTTGCATTTTGTTTTGAAGTTTCTCCACAAAGCTGGTGTTGAATCTCTCCGGGTAACCCAGGTGGAAGCGCTGGTCAGCTGGGAGGGCGATGGTGAGGTTATGCTTCTCTGTGAACCGAAACAGGATGTTCAGGACGGTGCTGCTGGCAGTCTTGTGGGTCTTCAGGAACATGACGTTGGTTTTGGCGTGACACGGTCTGGGAGTCATCAGCAACTCTGTGGAGCTCCTCCAGAATCTGCAGGAAGGCAACACATGGGGAAAACAGCCTCTCTGGTGCCGTACCCCATCTCTTAGACCTGGCAAAGCTCAGCTAACCATCTCTTTTTCTCCCATGGCAGTAAAGCTTCAGCAGCCAAATGCAAGCAGGTTTTCCTGACCCCACACCAGCAGCTGGAGCGAGGCACCAACCCAAACAAGCCCCATCCCTTAAGCATGGATGTTGGACAGTTTTCTGTTTCTCCAGTACCTCACTTGCCAAGCAGGGCCCAAATACTTCATCTTGATCCCCTTTTAGTTTGTTATTTGTTTTTGCCCTAAAGAGCTGCATTTCAGCTCATTTGATCACTTCCGTGCCCAAATCTGGATCTAGGGCCCGATTTTGGGCTGCTGCCCTTGCAGCATTACCTTAGGTTGAGAAAGCTAAATCACGTGCCACAGGTCAGATCCTTTCTGCCCTGTGGAGGTGAAGTCAAGCAACTAGTTGTTCTTGCTCCTTCTAGACTTACAGATTTTTACTAGTTGTATGGAAGAATCCAAAAAGGGTGACTCCCACAAAAAAGTTGAAGAAGAGAAAACATTTGGTATACCTGGAAAGAGAGTAGAATTTATGTGAATATTATCTCTTAGAATACAATCCCTCCCCAAATGTGAACCACAAAGCTTTGCATGCTGTCCTTGGGCCTTCTGTCCCTGGGACCATAATTTCTTTATGGTGCCAGCCATCAGCTGCATCAGCAGCTCTGGGGTTTGAGGCAGGACAACAAGAAATCACATTTTTTTACTCTCATTCCCTAATTTTCACCCACATAACCTACTTCTTTTGGGTTTCTGAGGCCTTAGAGTTTGTTCATTTAGAGTTTATTCACTTCAAGCTTCTCCCATTTTGTCAATGGAATTCTGTGCTATAGAAGCCTTTCTTGTTGCCCTTGATGAAAGAAAAAGTTTCAGGACATAGAGAGGGGCAGCTTTCCATCTGTATTTCTTCACTTTTTTTGTCTCACCTGGTGTGAGACAACCCCTTTCCTTTGGTCAGTCTACATATACAAGTAGAGCTGAGACTAGGGAAGAAATGCGGAGAGGCAAGCAGGCTCTTGTCCCTTGAATGCACCCCCTGCTCATTTTCTTGGCCTTTCAGTTAAGGTGAAGCTGATGCTGGTGTAATAGTGTTCCAGAAAATGCCTCCCTGCCTGCTTGGAGGCCTTTCCTAAGGCAGTCTGGCTATGGCTTTCTTCTGCCTCTTTCCTGCAGAACTGAACGCGTGCAATCAGGAACTTGTTTGCTCAGGCAGCATACCCAACACAGAAGGCAGTTGTACTTTGATTAGTCTTTGAATATGTAAATGAATCAATGTATGCTTAAACATCCTGAAAATAAGTCAGCCGCAACATGTGCCATAAAGGTTATCATTCATCACAACTCTCTGATCAAGTCATATCTAAAACCAAATGCCAAGAGACACCATGCACAATGTTGGCTAAAATATCTGCCGTCTTTTATTGCCTTCAGGAAAGACAGGTCCTGCTTGTTTCAGAGCTGTTCTGCTCTGTTTGCTGAAGGTGAACAGTGCAAGTGCCTAGCATTACAGAAGACAGCTGACCTTTTGGATGAACAGTTAAAACCATAAGCAGAGGTATTTCACAGCTGTCATCCGGATGAACAGGAGCATACAGGGCAGGATGCACAGAGTCGTGGCTGCGGGGTTTTATTCCTTCCTAGCACGCAGCCAAGGAGGCATTTCGCCTGGGGGGAGTGAAGTCCAACGCAGCCACAAGACGCAGGATTCATTGAGAGCACCCCTTGTTACCAACGCACTACCTGCTTTTCCGCTCCATTGATACAGTCTTCCCCAAGGCAAAAGTTCGGGAGTTCAAATCTGAGAGTTGCACAGAAATCACCAAAGCACGCGGGGTATGAAACCAGCCTGGGATCCCTTTGAGGACGCGCTTCAGAGCTACCACTAAAACACAAATTCTTCTAAGCCAAAGAGTTTGTCCTTTTGACAAAGGCAGCACTTGAGTGTGCGGCTACGGATGCTTTAAGGTAGGACAACATTTTTGATTATTTGCATTAAGCTGAAAACAACATCTCTACGGATTTGTGTCAACATAACAAGGTTCTTTCAAATTAAAAGACTTGGGATACAGGAGGACACACACACTGAAACAAACCTCACCCTGGAGCAAACTGTAACTAACTATAGGCTATTAATCACACAGATTAACTGAATCAGACCTTTCTACGAATCATGTTTTAATTCTGCACCCATAATGTTCACATCCCTCTCCCCTTACCTTGAAGTGCACCTAAGGGTTTTCATGCTGCCTCGCTGCTGTGAGCTAGAAAGTATCTCCTTTGCAAATCAGTTCCAAAACTCCTTTTGTTTGCGGTGTCTGATGGATTTGGTGTGTCTCTATATCTATCATCCTATCACTGCTATAAGTGGCTAGGACAGGTGAGGACAAAGGGAGTGGCTAGGTGTTTCCAGGGGTGGGTAGACGTTAGTTAACAAGCCATGAACAGTTCTGGCATGGCATCACATTTACGCAGGCACCGATGCTTTTTCCAGGGCTGCCTTAGGAGACAGGGTCTGCAGCAGTTTTGTAGGGAAGTGAGGATTTAGCAGGTTCCTTAGCAGGGATTCCCCTTCCATCAAGAATGAGGGTACAGATGGGGGAAGACAAACATGCACACAAACGCTGTGCCTGGCTGCAGGAGGGAGGCACAGGGCTGATCCGGGCAGGATGCTGGGCTGGGGGCTGGAGGAGGGCATCGCAGGTCCCTTAAATTTTCTGCAGCCCCTACAGTGTGCCGTGCACTGCCACACCTCCTGCTGCGGTGCTCAGTGCCTGAGAGGCCTTTCCTCTGGTTCTTGCCTGCAGATTCAGGTCCAGACTTCTCTGTCAGACATGTCTGGCAGCAGGAAATTAGGGACAACAGCAAAACAGGAATGGTGTTAGGCTATTGGAAATTCCCCCTTCGTTTTAAGAAGCACTCCCGCCATAAAGGTCCAAGAAGCAAACCATTTAGGCTCAAAGTCTTTCCCAGTGAAAACCCGGTTACAGCAACTGAAGGGTAAGAGCTTAGGTTCTTTGCTATATCTAAGTCTTGGGAGAAAAAAGGAAAAAACAAAACAAAACAAAACAAAACACACCACACTTTTGCACCTACACCAGCTGAGCTGTATTTGATGGGTCATCAAATGGCCCAAAGGGTTATGGTGAATGAGGCTGCGTCAGGCTGGCGGGCGGTCACCAGTGGGGTCCCTCAAGGCTCCATTTTAGGGCTGGTACTTTTCAATATTTTTATAAACGATCTGGATGTAGGAATAGAAAGTATTTTGAGCAAGTTTGCTGATGATACCAAACTTGGAGTTGTGGACTCGAATGAGGGTGGAAAGGCCTTGCAGAGGGATCTGGATAGGTTGGAGAGCTGGGCGATCACCAACCGCATGAAGTTCAATAAGAGCAAGTGCCGGGTCCTGCACCTGGGACGGGGAAACCCTGGCTGCACGTACAGACTGGGCGATGAGACGCTGGAGAGCAGCCTAGAAGAGAGGGATCTGGGGGTCGTGGTAGACAGCAAGTTGAATATGAGCCAGCAGTGTGCCCTGGCAGCCAGGAGGGCCAACCGTGTCCTGGGGTGCATCAAGCACGGCATCGCTAGTAGGTCGAGGGAGGTGATTGTCCCGCTCTACTCTGCGCTGGTGCGGCCTCACCTCGAGTACTGTGTGCAGTTCTGGGCACCACAGTATAAAAAGGACATGAAACTGTTGGAGAGTGTCCAGAGGAGGGCTACGAAGATGGTGAAAGGCCTGGAGGGGAAGACGTACGAGGAACGGCTGAGGGCACTGGGCCTGTTCAGCCTGGAGAAGAGGAGGCTGAGGGGAGACCTCATCGCAGTCTACAACTTCCTCGTAAGGGGGTGTCGAGAGGCAGGAGACCTTTTCTCCATTAACACCAGCGACAGGACCCGCGGGAACGGGGTTAAGGCTGAGGCAGGGGAAATTTAGGCTTGACATCAGGAGGGGGTTCTTCACAGAGAGGGTGGTTGCACACTGGAACAGGCTCCCCAGGGAAGTGGTCACTGCACCTGAGCCTGACTGAATTTAAGAAGAGATTGGACTGTGCACTTAGTCACATGGTCTGAACTTTGGGTAGACCTGTGCGGTGTCAAGAGTTGGACTTGATGATCCTTAAGGGTCCCTTCCAACTCAGGATATTCTATGATTCTATGATTCTATGATCTACAAAGGGACTTTCTGGTGTTATTAATGACCACTGCAACTTACCTTCACTGGAAGCAGTGAAGGTAATGCAGGTGACACAGAATTCTCTGGGGCAGGATGAACAGCTCCAAACAGCCCGCTCGGATTAGGAGAGGGTCAAGTCCTTCCTCACCATGCCAGAAGACTGCTGCTTCAAGGTGTTGAGCAGCCATAGACACTTCTCATCCTTCCAATATTTAAGTCTGTCCTAGAAAAAAAAAAAAAAAAAAAAAGTATTGTGGACAAAAAAATTCTACCACAATGATTCTTTATCAAAAAATACATGCACACATATGTGCACATCTCTCTCTTTCTCCTATATACTAAGTAAACCAGTATTTGAGAGCATCATTGAGAACTTTGAACAGCAGGATAATAATGGCAATGAATTAACACAGAAAATGGATTCCATTCCCTCCAGGTAATTGCTTTGTTGTTCATCTGAGACGGTGATTGTAACACTGAGTTTGTGGATCTTGGTATGTAAAGAAGAAGGCTAAATGTGACTGCTGGGATTCCTCTGGCCACTGCACAGCCCCGGGTTGCCTGCCAGCCCTGGCTCCCTCCCTAGCACTCTCCCCATACATAGCTGAAAAAAAAAACAAAATAAAAAAAAAACAAACAGTATGGAAAGTTCCACTTCCCCAAAAGAACCATTCATGTGTAAAGCCTGCATTTCAAACTCTTACGGTCAGTGGTTTGTGAAAAAAAAAGAATGTAAACAGCCTGATCTGGAAAGAACAGGTTGTATCAGCTTGACTTGGCAGGAAGCAAATCCTTTATGTTTCTTCTTTACCACCACTACAGATTTTCTCTATTTTTGCATCTTCTGATACACAAACAGCTCAGGCGGGGAGCATTTCACCTCCTGCCTTGTTTGCTAACAACAGCATTGTTCCCTCCAATTAAGCCTCTCTTAACTAACGCAGCTCCAAGCTTTTGGCTGAAGAAGACGATCAGCTCCTCCCTGACAGCCCCTGAGGACTGAAGGGAGAGGTACAGGGTGCCTTGACAGCAGAGAGAGAGAAGGGATTGAAGAGATCACAGGGTAGGGATAAATACTGATAGTGCAGGCTGTATGGTGGTTGTTCTGCCAGAGCATTCACGTGGCAAATGGAGAGTCACGACCTTAGACCTGCGCTGCGATGGGTGCTGTAATGCAGGGCGCTGAGTAAGCCGCCATCCTTAATTCAGCTCAGCAGCTTGCAGCCTTGTTGAGAGGTGTTCTGAATAAAAATAGAAAAAAAAGAGACTCTTCAGGATGGTTTTCTTCCTGGAAAAGTGCTCTTTGTTTCCCCTCAAGCGAGGAAACAAAGACTGCAAAACTGGGGTTTGTGGAGGATCAGGCAAGATCCGGAATCAACAGCATTATCCCATAATAATCAGTGACTCCCAAGGGGTATAAAAGGCCCGTCCAAACATCTTTCATCCTCCTTGTTTCCCCAGAAGTGACCCAAGGCAGACGTGGACACACAGCGCATGTGGCGTGCTTGTGAGAGGGCACACAAAGTCTGAGAGAATTGCACGAGTAAAACCAAGCTGTTGTCAGATCGCCTTCCGCTGCCACCAGGCCTTGTGCTGACCTGCTGATCCCTGTCCTACACCACCGGCTCCTTTCCCCTCTCACCCTCCTACTTGGAGAACCTATTTTTCTCCTACACCTTTTGGAATCGGTGACCCTTCCGAAGGCCAGACAGAATGATTTTATTTTCCTGCTGTTTTATGTAGGAGAAGGGAGCCAAGGAAGCAGGAAGTGCTCCCGTCGGCCTGGCTTCTGGCATCGAAGCCCTGCCAGTTACTGCTGCCCTGAGGTTAAACCTCCAGGAACCCTCTCTTCTCTGGTCTGGCCTTCCAGGACTGCGAACCTGTACCTGCAGCAACGCCGATGTGTCCTTGGGACAGTCTGGCGGTGGCATCGCTAGAGAACCCGCAGCCTGGCACTAGTGTGGGTTTTTTCAAGCATGTTGGATCAAAACGAGTGAGGAAGGGCAACGTTTTCACCTGGAGATGGTGGTGTGGTGTGCCTCCTGTGCCCCCGAGGCTTCACTTGTACACCCCAAAGGAGATGCCTCCTCCGACCGATGGCACTTCACTACTAACTCAGAGCAAACCAGTGGGAAGAAAGCTGAAACACCCACACACAGCGCCATGGAGGCAAACAGGACACGAAACGTGTCTAAACTGTTTCCTTAAGTTGAAGGTGGCTCCGGGTTGGGACTCTAGCCAAGGCTTTAAGAGGGCCACTTGTGAGATTTGCTCTGATGCAGGCACCCAGCGTGTCCTTGGGCTTGCATCCAGACACAAGGAGCTCCCAAAAGACAAAGTGCAACTGCCGTGCTGAAGATCAGAGCAGCAAATTCTGCTGTAGCTCAACCCAAAGGCAACAGAACCGATCTCACGCCACTCAGAGCAGACACTGGGGAAGGACAGACACCGATGACAGAGGAAGAACCATTCTATGCAAAGGGGCAGTTGCTGGCCCGCAGCTCGGGGAAAGCTGCATCAGCTCCTTACTCTGCCGGGGACGGATTCACACCCAAGCTCTTGAGCCCCTAGGAGGGACCACGCTGCATAATCTCGCAGAAACTTTCCCACTTTCCCTTAATTCTCTTCAACCTGGTCCAGTGAAAAGCCAGAATATAAGATCAACAGTGATGGGAGTTGACTCCCAAGACCTTGCATTTTCTGACAAACTCCCTTAACATGCATAAACACCTCTCGAAGGGGCTGAAGACTTCCCAAGGAAAGCAGGGCTTCCAGAGGAACCACAGAGTAGAAAGGTACCTGAAGGAAAACCCTGAGTACCCCAATAAAGAGAGATTTCCAGTCTTTACCCACCCAGTCAGTCCTGGGAAGGTGGCAGGACACAGCCCTTGGGCTGCGAGGCAGCCGTGCTGTGCTTGGTCAGGATGAAAGAGCAAAGGCAGCCAGAAGCCAGCCCAGGACCTCGGCATCTCAGTGCTGGGCTCTGCAGGATCTGACAGAGCACCGCTGGGATTCCAGCCACACCTAGAGCAAAGACACATTTTGACAAAGGGATTCTGGCTAGAACAGATATCTGCTTAAAATCTCTGGGTCGCTAGAAGAGGCATAGACCAGAAAGTTCTGATTTTGAGCAAATTATAATAATCTATATTTACTGTACATATACAAGAAATGAAAACACACTATCACAGGGAATGAACGTATGGCTTTTTTTAATGTCTTTTGAATTGTTTCTTTTATTAAAACAGGATCAAAACTCAGTTTCATTACAATTCTAACATAATGCTAAGAGCTTCAAAATGTGAAGAAATCTTTATTAGAAGAGTACTCCTTAGAGACAGTATTAACATCAATTTTTAAGTTACAATAGTTCACAGATATACACAGTAACATGAGTAATCACAATCAAAAATCCTGATGAATAGTTTTTACCTGCTTATATGTGAGTAGTAATAGTTTTTACTGATTCTATGTAAGGTTTAAAGCTCTTTGTCCTGAAACAGGGGAGATTGCATTGTACTAAGTCAAACAACAGAACGCACTCCTGTGGCCAGATCTACAGCCCACACAGCTCTGCCCCTGCATGGTCATTTTGCACATCATGCCACTTCTGACTCCTGCCTTTTGTGCCATAATGATGTGAATGGCACTTGTCAGTTATCTCTGAGTCCTCCCCGCATAGGCCTGCCTCTTGATGTTCAGCCCATGTGCATGCAGGTCTCATGCCGTAAGGAACCCCCAGATGCTACGCACTAGCAAGGGCACTGCTGCTACCATCTGGCTCAGGTGCTAGCCACATGCCATGATCCCGCATTCCACCCTACCAACCTCAGCAAGGTAAGTGAGAATGGTGGTAAATATGTTCTGTTTTTAACAAACTATTCTACTTTCATAATTTGGCAGCTAATTTCAGATAAAGGCAATATAAAACTCCAAAGGTCCCTCCCTTCTGAAAAGAAGTGCTTGATACAGGATTTACAAGGCGTGACTTCCGATACAGTTGTACCTCAATAAGGTTATTACACAGATGATAGAGAAAGTCAACGGCCTTTTTTTGATCTCACCGTTTGGCTGCAGAATGCATGCAGTAAACAAAACAGAAAGGAAAGAAGAACAGTGATCACCAGAGCTTGAGATATGTAAGTAGTAAGTGTTCTACTGCCAACGCTAAACATCATACCCATGGTAGAAAAAGCAGGTAAGATTAAAAAAAAAATCTGTATGTTTCGTTTCAGTGTTCAGATTAAACAGAAAGCCTACACAGTGAGAACCCGTAAGGTGCTCTTCTTCAGAAAGAGCAGACACACCTGAAAAGAGGAACCACATTCCTTTACTTGTTCCATCACACTAAGAAAATAAGCCAAGGAGCATTCTACATGCTTGCTTGATCTCTCAGTTTGGTGTTAAAGGACAGTTATCGAGATGTCGTCCTCTCATGATGGCATCTGCTTGCTTTTCAGAACATGTTGCTTCAGGAGCTGGAGGGCAGTGTCTTGTATGGATTGAGGATCCCTTTGGGGTCTAACATGGCTTTGAAGCGCTGCATTAGAAAGATTGCCTCGCTGGGTTTGCTGTACTGAATGAACTGCTTTTTCTTGAAGCCCAATCCGTGCTCGGCACTGATACTGCCATTATATCTTGCAGTCCACTCATACACGAACGGTTCAATGGCATCCAGCAGGGAATGGCTGTAGGATTCTGCTGTGATGTTCAAGTGCAAGTTTCCATCTCCTGGAAGAAAACATTGCAGAGGTGAGTAAGAAAAACTCTGTAGATCTGCAATGGAGAATCATTGCTGTTTCATCCCTGTACTCAAACAACAGTGCCTTTCTTATTCACTGAACACTTCCTTCTAGAAGGAAGCGAACAGTCCGTCAACAAACATGCGGCCTCAAACATGCACAAGTAATTCAAATAGGATCTTTTTAGTACAATCTTTGAGGAAGTGTTTCAAGTTAAGCAACTCTCAAATTCCCACTTCCAAGATTTTAACATTCCAACAACGGTGCTGCATTAATTATTGTCCCTGCACTCAGATGGCATGCTGAAGACTTCCCCAACAGTACTGCCTAACGATGCTTGAATTTCAGTACAGTCCTTCATTACTGCATCTCTCCCTATTATATTTGTGCAGTGTTCTAAGGGCACTTTGGCACTGTGTCAACAGAAACAAAGAAAGCAGAGCATTTCCTTTCTCCGTTGGTGTTGCGTGTGATGATACTTAATTAAGCTCATAGTAGCTGGGTATTATAAACACACAAAGAAGAAAAAAAAAACAAAACTCATTCTCACTCTGGAACCTCTTCCTGCACTTCAGCAAATCTTCATAGTACACAGCTTAATCCTCAATGCCAACAGTTACCAAGTGCAGCCATTATTACAAAAATTTGTCTTTCAAATAATCTCAAACCAAGCACGCTGAGGAACATTTTTGTTTGTTTGTTGTTCTGTTCTTTTTTTGGGGGGTATGGGTTTGGAAACAGAACAGCTTTGCTAACAACTTACCTGTCTCTGGAGTATGTAAAATCAAAGCATTCTGACAAATGTATGAGCTGAAGGGATGGTTCACTAATTTTGTGCACTAATTTTATCACTTTCATTTGAAAAGCTAATGGCTCAGACATAACTGATTGCCAATATGACTAATGACTTTGGACAGGAAGGTGATTATCTGCCAAAAGTGTCTAAGTACATTAATAACACCAATGGTCCAATTAAATAACCTAGATAATTAAACAGAAAGTACACAGCAAGAAGATACAAACAGCCAGTTGACAGTTGCTGAGTGTCTAATGGTTACGCTGCCCAGTCACACCTGACAATAATATATGGAACAGGCTGAAGGCAGTGAAGATCCTTACACATCCTTACACATCCTCCTCCTCTGATAGCTCTCAGCTATTTAGTCTTTGCCTCCCAGCAACCTAAAACCAACTTTTAGGAGCTCCTAGGAAGTGCACAGCAAAATGTGGAGCACACAGAAGAAACCATCTCTGTTCCCCCTTTCCCAGCACCTGCACTTACCCAAGTGGCCGTAGCCCACCACATTTTTGGCACTCTGGCCCAGCCGAGCCCTCATGTCAGTCACGAGATCATACAGCTTCCCCACAGGCAGGGAGATGTCGTATTTGTAAACGCAGCCATCGTGAGTGAGAGCCTCTGTGATCCTCTCCCGGAGGCTCCACAGCATCTGATGAAAAAAGATCGAAGGAATCCCAATCAGCCAAGTTCCTCTCGTGTTCGATGCTTTGTGGCACGGAGTGAAGAAAACTTTGATTCTTTGCATGTAACATCAACATTTCCCTCGGTATCCTGTGCCTCATGGGAGACAGTAATAATGCTTTCTTGGCAGCACTGTATGGTGAAGTGATACACCGACCCTTTAAGCTTGACAGTACCCCAGCCAGAAAAGAACAAGTGTCACAGCCACAGGCATTCTCTCCAAAGCTGCCTAAGTCCTACTGATAGACATAATTTATTAACCTGATGTTTTTAAAAGAGAAAACATCCACTGAAAACTTCCCATAAGGCCACTCAGCCTTCAGGGAAGAGGCAGCAGTAGGAACTATTCTCTTCGCATTCTTAATCAATATCCCAAATAAGCTACCAGGTCATTCAGTCATGTTTATTTCAAACATCAAACAAGACAAACACGCCCTTACAAAAAATGTAGTTTCAAGGACAGAACCATTCTAAGTGGATTTGTGCAGGAGGAAATGATGACTTACCTTTATCTTCTTATCATCTGTTGCCACAGTTCCATCAGTGACTAATCCAGAAGTCATGGCCTGTTCTAGGAAGCTGTTCAATTTTTCTTCATCATGGGTTGAGTTAGAGCCCGAAGTTTCAATTAAAACATAAAAATGGCTGTCTGAAAGTGAAAAAGCATAAAATAAGCAGATGCTCTTCTGTGCTGTAAGCACAGGAGTTTAGTGCAGATTCTGGATCTTTTCCCAAATCCAATACGTTTTATAAGGTTTCTTTTCAGCCCAGATTCTCGTGTGCCAGACAGGAGTGCAGCTCAAGTGGCAATCTTATCTTGAAGGTGCTTCACTTCCATGTTCTATCCTCTGTCTAGCCACTGCTGTTCACAGAACTAGCAGTTTTGGGGGAACTGGTAGAACTAAAAAGTCGTATCTTTAAAGACTTTTACCAAGTGTATTTGGAATTGAACACCGGGTACAAAAATTAAGGGACGCACACAGTCACTCATTGACATACACATGTAAAACTGGGCTAAAAATGCCCAAGCAGCATAATGTCTCTTTCTGCAGGCCAAATGACACTATCTGTATCTCTTCTTTAAACAGAGAGTTATCGGCTCTGGTACCTCTCACTGGGCAGGATAGCTTGAGATGTTTCTCAACCAGTTCCATGCACTTCTCATCCATGAACTCATAGGCAGACAGGATCTCTCCCAGCATGGCTCTGCAGGTTGTAAAGGTTTCCAGAACCTGAGAGAAATTCTGACACCCTTCAGACAGATGATAAAGAGGAATAAGAAACAAAAGCAACCTCTCAAAACCTCATCGACAGTTTTTAAAATTCTATCAGGCTTCAAGTCACTTTTCCCATTTCTAGGAAAGCTAAACCTTGTGTGGGTTTGGATCCCATGCGATCCCTGTTAGTTCCTCTGATGGTTTGAGCTGGGACAGTTGTCAGAGCAGAACAGCAGGAGGAGAGAGCAACTGGTCTTTGCTGTGCCAAGGACCTCCTCGACATCCTAAGACAGTTCACAGCAAAATGTCTGACCCAACCCTCACTTCTCAGCACTGGCAAGAAGGCAACCCAGGATGAATTTAAAGGCCATTATGAGAGTCCAGGCAAATTCCAGGGTCCACTGCACATACTCCACAGGTTTGTCAGGGCTTGGAGCCTACTCTTCCTTCCCCTCACCCCTGGAGTTCAGCTCCCTGCTTTCCAGGCCACATCTGTTACCAGCATGCTGAGTAGCAAGCAGGCTGACCTGTGCTTTCTTCTCATAATTACTGTTCCCTTCCCCGCCTAGGAATCCAGGTGTGAAATCATTAATATCACTTCCTACCTAGGAATGCCAGATTCACAGCCTTCGGCTTCTGAGGGCAGAGTATGGAGACAGCCGTGATAACTCCTAAGGTCCCCTCAGATCCGATGAAAAGCTGCTTCAGATCGTAGCCAGTGTTGTCTTTGCGCAGAGATGCCAAGCAGTCCAGGACTGTGCCATCTGCCAGCACCTGTGAAGACACAGAGATGCCATGCACCTATGCAGAAATGTGCTGCAAAAAGCTTGTCTACTACCAACCTGGTGAAAGGCTACCGCCAGCCTTCATGAGTAGATACCAACTGCAGGACGTTCCCAGTCTTGTCACTGTTCCTTGTTTCCAGCTCTCTCCGTTCCTTCTTACCCTCTATATCCTACCTGAATCTTCCCACAAACTTTCCTACTTCTGTTTTGTGGTTGTTTGTTTGTTTTTTTTTAATGGTGCTGTTTACACATGTTCAAAAATAACAGAAGCCTGAGCTTGTTCTACTTCTCTCACCAGTGGTGCACAAGGTCAGCCATTCTTTGCAGCCCTAGACCCCATTGTTCTATTTATTTTCTATTAGATCTCTCCCTCCAACACCATAAATCTTTTAGAATCACAAATGCCAGCCTTTACACACACAGGCACAGGCAGAAGCAAGCTGAGGAACAGGAAGGACTCTAGGACAAAGCCAGCAGTCAAAAAAAACACAAAGTGGATGGCTCTATTGAAAGCTGGGTGAGCAGTCAACAGAGCATGTGGCAGGATGGACTTAGCAGAGTGCTCCAGGGACCCACCACTCCACAGAGGAACCAACCTGATGCAGGTAGTGGGACCACCACACCTCTCCCTACCTCCTTTTTGTTTCTCTGGATAAGAACATCATCCCTCACAGCTTCTGTCGGTAAGAACAGAGGAGGAAGCTGGAAGCTCTGGCAGCAGTACCAGACGCTACATGCACGAAAGCACTTGTTGGCCCTTCCCAAAAGGAACGGCGAGGAGCGTGAGCCTGAAGAGGAGCTTTTGTCTATGTAGCAGAGAGCCAAGAGCTACAACAGCAGGAAGCAGGGGACAGGTAGAGGTGCAAACACAGAGGGAGCTGCTGGCTCCTCGCCTTACCACTTCCAGTCCTAGCACGGTCCCTCGGAGGGAGCCATACCTCAGGAGCCGCAAGCCTCCAGCATTTGTGGCCACGTTACCGCCGATGTGGCAGCTCCCTTTCGCTCCCAAGTCAAGCGGCATGATAAACCCCTGCTGCTCCAAGTACTCGTTGAGTCTCTCTAAGATGCAGCCAGCTTGGCACACGAGGATTCCTGGAACAGAAACAAGCTGATGCCCAGGAAGAAGGGGGTCCTGAAGAGGCAGGATAAGCATCAGCAGGTGCAACCACTGCTTCCTCCAATACTTTCTGAGGTTCAATTTGAACTAGCAAGAACCCTGTGCTTGCTACAGGGCATTATCCTACCCCTCCTCAGTCCCAGGGGAGCTTTGCCATTGTCTTAACTTCTGATCATGCCCAACTCTGGACACATGAAATAGTGACATTAAGACTATTTCTGTCCAGTGTTCCCCTTCTTGCTGTCTTTAACAACTGAAATACTCAAAGCAGCCTAGTTCCTAACTTTCCAAACCCAAACATCCTGCAAGTTTTCCCCATTCCTCCCTTATCTGTTAGTGTGGCTCTCACACGCCTCCTTTACCACCACCGTTCTCCCCCCGATGGGTTTCTCCTTTAGCAAACAGGATATACATGCTTTTCTGCTCTCTTTCATCCTCTTTCCGCCACCAGATGTTTTATTACATCTGTTACTGTTAACAACTAAGGATTACATCAGCAGCAGGAATCTGGAGGAAACAAATCTCTGATGCCCCTTACGATGCTGCTGGGCTGAACCCTGCCAATGCTGCAGTTACAGCTCCCAGAAGAATGTCCAGGCTAAAGCCAGGGGCTCGTTTCCGTGCACCACGTGCCTACAATATTTACCAGACACGGTGTCAAAGCTGATGATCCGGTTCATGAGAACGGTGGAGAGAATGATCTCATCAAAGACAGGAACGCTGCCCCCGACAAGGCCCGTGTTACCTCCCTGCGGGTTCACTGCCAGGTTCCTCTCCGAGCAGTACCTGGAAGGAAGCAGGTTTCTCAAGTCTTACATCACTGAAGGCCATAATCCAGTCTATCAGAAAAGTTTCACTTCCCTGTGAATAGGTCCTGCTGTGCTCAAGGAGCATGAGTGCTCAATGCTCCTTAAAATTCAGCAGTGCTCAATCTAAAGACTAAACGGATAAAGAGGGGCAGTTTCATTGCAAATGTGGGAAAGCACAGCTCCTCTCTCCCCTCACTCCAGCCCTGTGCGAAGGAATGAACACTCGGGGTCATCCCCTTGAACAGCCCCAGATCTGCCATGCAGTATCTGTCTGGAAAGCACACCTCTCTCTGTTCATACATTTATTCAGCAGTCTCTGCTAGAAGCTTCCCCAGGGGGTTCTGACAGAGGATCTCTGGCAGCAGCTTAAGACACTACCACCCTCCTCCTCCTCTCAGGAAAGAATGTCCCGTGGGCAATGAAGTCTGTGCATCTCTGCCTCAGCTGCTCCACCCTCCAGCGTGAAGTGCCACCCAGCACAACCTCTCCCAGCTCACCAGAGTTCAAGGGCAATGGATGGCACAAGCTGCACGGCACCAGCAGCTACTTGGAAGTCCCAAGCTCTGTACTTTTGTTGTAAGAGCCAGGAGCAGATGAGCAGCTTCCTGCCCTTGCCCTTGCATGTCTGAACTAGGGCAGTGCTGCCACTGCTTCACTGGACCCAACAAGTTTCTTTTCCCTTTTTCTGAGGGCCTCTCCCTGAGCCCCTTCAGCATAACTGCTCACGTCGAGTGCTGGTAAAATGTCCAAATTTTGACAGTTTTGTACAAAAGGCAGGCGTTACCTGAGAACCTGGGACACCTCCGCTGTCGTCTGCGGCTTCAGCAACAGCGTGCTACAGCCTGCAACTGAAAGCAAGGGATGCCTGTGGCATGTCACCTGCTGCACGGAGATCGGAAAGGACAAGGTGGCACGGGATGTGGGAGATGGCAGCACTCCTCCCTGAGGCAGACACTTTAATGATTTTAAACCAAACGTTTTTAACAGCGGGCCTTCCCTTGGAGTGCTTCGCACCTGCCCACGGACCTGGCTGTCGGTGTGGACAACGGGAAACGTTTCCCTGAGTTCTGAAGGGCGGCCCCTTACCTCGGACCGACCGCAGCCAGTCCACGTTACAGGGCTCCAGCGCCGCCGGCTCCGTCAGGGCTCTGCCCGGCAGCAGGCGCTGGAAGAACGCCACGTCCTGGGGGCTGAGGCGGGAGAAGGGCAGGCGCCGCACTCGGTACCGCTCGCTGGTCAGCGGCACCTCCCCGAGGCCAGGCGAGGCCGTGCGGAGCCCGCGGCCGCCATGAGGAAGCCACGGTCCCCTCGGGGCCACCCCGGGCGCCTTCCCCGGCTGTGGGGCCCAGGCAGCGCCGCCCGGCCGCCATCTTAGCGCGGCGCAGCGGGGCCAGCAGGGGCGCAGCCACGCCATGGCCGCCCCGGGGGCGAGGGGAGGCCGGGCTCCCGCTCGGCTTCAAGCTTCCTGAGGCGGCGGGGAGCGGTTGTTCGGCCCCGAAACCGCCCGGCCGAGCCCGAGCCTCAGCGACGGCGCCCCCCGGTCCGGGAGCTGCCCGCGGTCCCCTCAGCGCCTCACGGGGCAGAAGGCGGCCATGGCCCGGCCCCCACCGCGGTCCTAGCGCCCGCCCAGCTCCAGGCAGCCGCACAGCTCTTGTTCCCAAAAATACTTTATTTGTAAATCAATATAGCCGTCATCTCTGACAAAGATCCAAAAATACAGATATAGATTTTACTTTACATTCTCGTTTTTCTTTTTTTAATAAAAAGCTTTATAGTCTCTTCCATTTACAAAGGGAACACAGGTCGGATTCTTTAAAAAAATAGAAGAATCGGGTTAAAGTCGCGTCACCACCAGTTGGGATGAGCTGCGATAAAGCTGGACACCACAGTGTATGCAGGTGCTTCGACAATCTTTAGTGGAACATTCCTTTAAGTATCACAGTCTCATTCATCCTTCTCCTTAAAGCATATTTAACGCCGTACATTCAAAATTCAGGAGAAAGATTTCAACTCTTTAGTGACCAAAAAATGAAGGCTACTGGTACTCCCATCTGCAAGAGTCTCTAAAGATCTCTAAACCCAGGTGTAAACAGCCAACAGGTGCTCTTGAGCCCGTGACAGCAGCTGGAGGCTCTGTGCTGGTGTGTTGGCGACAGGACGGTCTATTGCTGGTGTTGGTGCGACAGGCTGGACACGTTGGAGATGTCCCAGCGTAAAGAAGAGCGTGGGTCACCTCAGCTCTGCTCGTGATTCCTAGTGAAGAAGCATCTTTCCTTTTGAAGACTGATGCTAACTTCTAGCACTTTTTTTTTTTTTTGCTTTGCTGGTTAAAATGGAAAACATCTGTCCTTCTGAGCCGAGGAAAGCACTTACTAACAAAAAAATTCGCTGTCCTACCTGACCATCTTTTCTGAGTTTAGGGCAGCCAGCTTTGCTCTTATTCATCCACAGCTGCACATTCCCATACTTGCGTGTTTCCAGCAAGACCTCCAAAGAGGTGCAGTCTAACTTTGAGATTGTTTCAAATCAAATGCTTAATCTATGGTGACAGCACTACTATTAAAGCCTTAGGAAAAGGGGAAAAAAATTGACAATACCATTGGACGGAAGGGGAAAATAAGATGTGAAACAGCATCACCACTAGCCTTCAGGACACGGTTACACTCTTACATTAATCCAGTGTAGCAGATCAATGAGGTACAGGTCTCACCCACTGGTTACTGAATTACAGGCTGGCTCATGAGGTATCACAAGCAAATTTACTCTCAAGACAGAGGCAGAAAGAAGAGGGCTGACTGTACTTCTACAATCAGGCTTACATGATTGTGCTTCTTCTCCCCCTCATGTCCCTTTCTAATTCATCTGTGTGGTTTTGGGGTGCTTTTACAATGGCAACAATGAGAAGCGTACATTGTCTTGTAAACATAACTATGGAAACTTCATATACAGCATGGAGTGATGCAACCTAATACGGACATGTACAACATCACACTTCAAACAAGAGGGCCCTGGAGACAGGTCTTTCTGCATAGGGGATGCAATAAATCAAAACATTCACAGAAAACCTGTCTCAGTATCAAAATGTTTCTGCTGCAACAGTCCTTACGTACCTGTAGCATCTACAAAACCCAGCAGAGCAAAGCAGGAAAAGAAAACAGGCAAGAGCTGTGTTCTACTTTCACTGCAAAGCACAAGTAAGAGGGCCAGGGCAAGAAAAAAACAAACAAACAAAAACAACAACAAAGTTCTTTCACAAGCTGTTGCTAAAGTCCAACTAGAACAGTGTTGTTGTTTGTGTGTGTGTTTTGTTTTTTTTTCCGCCCCACCCCCCTCTGTACTGTTTCTTCAGATTGCTTTTAAAGCAGAAGAAAAGCTTATCTGGAAGCATTTCCAACAGTCTGCACCAAGAGCTCTGCACAGTGCTATGCCAAGTAACACAGCCCTGCACAGAGCTGCCATAAACACCCATCACAGACCACAGCCAGGAGAGTTCATGAACCCTGGTCTGTCCTGCTGCAGGCCTTTGGTGTTTTCTCCCTCCCCTAGCAGAAAAACCTTTACCCACAACATTTTTGTGTAGGCAATTAAGCCCAAAAATCCGGGAGATATCTAAAGACAATACTTATCTCTGTTCTTCCCTCAACTTCTGAATCTGCTATAACTCAAAGGAGGAAAAAAAAATCGCCGAAAAACACACAGAAAGACTGTAGTTTTCCTACTCCTGATTTCCTTCTCATCCTTCTGCTGCAGCAACTGGCACGGTGATGACAGCAAGGATTCACATTCAAGATCTGAAAGGCAGCTTAAAGAAGTCAAGAACAGGCAAATATGCCCCTACTAACAAGGCAAGATGTCATTTTATAACATTCCTACTGAATTGCCTTCTTCAATAACACAGCTTCATAGCAAATTCTATTAGAACACCACAACCTCCACCAAGCTACCTCATGGCCACCTTTCTTTCAGCTTTGCCGCACCATCACAGGAATGTACACGTTATCCTTGCAGAGGATTCCCTTAAAGCTTGTTTTCCTGATTTACTGAGGTGCAATACAGACATACACAAGAAATAAAAATAAGGCCTTCATCTTCTTTTATGAATAAATCAGACCCTCTATAACAATACTCTAGGTTTCAACTTCACAGTAATGTACTTAAATTTCCAAAGAAATGAAAACTGACAGGAAAGGTAACTCACTCTCTCAATACTACTGTCACTAAGAAACACTGCAGGACAATTCCTGTGAGATTTAAAGCTCTTGTCCCAGAAGAGACAAACCTTTTATAGGAGGCAGGAAGGCAGATGTTTTCCTTCTCTTAAGGTTCACGTGAATGCAAGCAAGATCAAGTAAAATAATGGCAGTGCAAAGTTAGACAGAAGAAATTTCCCAGAAGGGAAGATACGGTCTTAATCTCCATCCCATCCCTACCCTGTCAAAACTAAGCACAGTATTTGGCTTTGAGGAAACAGACATTGGAAACAGCTGACCAGCTTTCTTGTTCCTCTGTACAACAGAACTGCAGAACAAATGGACTTCACACCAAAACTATTCCTCTTCTGCAGGCTACAATAGAGACAATTCCTTTTTCTCTACCATGCTAAGCTCCAGGTAACTGAACGACTTCAGTGATGGCAATGCACCATGAAGCTACAGGTATCTCATGTTCCTGCAACGCCTTACGTGGTTTCACAGGCTCCTATAAACTAGCAGACTTACAGCTACTGGCTGCCCTAACACTTCCTAGTAACACTGATTACAGTGTTGTGCAAGAGTAACATAAATAAAATCCCTGTGGCAGATTCCCTCCCTCCCACAGTCATTTTCTTATGAAAGAATAGGAATTACAACTGGCCACTGGACAATTAAATATCGTATCAGAAAAAGGAAGAAGGTAGGTTTTAGAATCAAAATGATGATATTGCAACTTGAAGGAAGGAATATATTAAAAAAACCTCTTCTAGCCTCAGAGGATGTATTCCCCTCTACTCCTTACTTCTTTTTCTTTCTTTCCTGAACACAACGTGGACAAAACCTACAGGGAAAAGGAAAAAAAAAAGATAGTAATTAGTTCCTGAAGATAACAACATATCACTCAAGAGCTCTTCCTATCATTTGGAAATGAGCAGGGGTGGTGGTGATTTTAACCAATAGCAACAAATTCATGACATATAGGGAAACTGGGCAAACAGGAAAAAAAATTGTGCAGACTCTGGTGAACAGCATGAAAAGACTTCCAGAGCTGCCCCTCACAGCCATGATTCCCCCAGTTCATTCACCCAAAAGTTACTCCAAGTAACAGAGAAAATAAGGTATTTTCCTCCAGTTCATTCCTTCCCTCCCTCCAGTGACTCCAGTTCAGTTCTACTTCAGCTTGTTTCTGATAAGCTTCTTACAGATAGATGACAGGAGCCCATCAAATAGAGATATTTACGTCTCAAAGTCTGCTTACTGAAACAATCAGCATTTAAGTCAGTGGCTAGCCATTAAACTTCAACTCCATGCTATCACCAGTTTACTTCAGTATCTGATTGGAATGCGGTGACCTACTGCTCTATGTGCTTGCATGCTTACAATTATTCCCATCATGCTGTGTTCTGTAAATAAACATTTTAGTCATGTTATTTGTCCCCACTTAATACAGTAGCGCAATTTCATTTCCTCTTGAAAATTCACTTTTCTTATGCTAACTGAGGAGTGTGGCATTTTAATTGCAAAAGAGAACAATTACACAAAGGTTTTGTCCTTTGAAAAAGAAAGAACAGAACAAGCGTATGACTTCTGAAGATGGGCATGTAAGCAAAACCTAAATACAATTCTAACACTTTTTTTCCCATAAGTGGGAAAAAAAAAAAAGAATCATTTTCTCAACCTTAACCACAACAACGGTTGCACAGCAATACAGCAAACGTGAGATTTAAGATCTATGTATTACCACAAGCCTAAGCTCATGAACAGCTCTACTTACCATGAAAATTTACATACACCCAGGTCCTTGTTTTGCTCCCACCAAAATCTGTGGCAACTAAGATTCCCATGGAAGCAGCCCCCAATAAAAAAGTTCCCCTTCTGCCTTCACAAAAATGCAATCTCAAACCCTACAGGATGCAAAGCTCTGATGACAAGAGCGAAGTTCCTTCGTCAGGAAGGGTCACAATAGAGTTTTGATTCTTTTTGTGATTCTTGTTGAGGGAAACCGTAGCTTGATAAGAGTAAAAAGCCTGTGTGTCCTTCTTACCATTTCCCTTTTGGTTTGGTGGTGAGATCCACACAAGCAAAGTGGAACCATTCAATTGGGCACTGCAAAACAAAGGAAAAATCCTCAGAAGAGATGCTCAGAGTTTCACAAGCATTATGTTTGTTTTGGATGATCTAATTGAGCAAGTACCCCCCTCAGATTTCACAGTGCTATGATGTTGCAATCATCATTTCAGAAGACACGGAGCACCTTTTGACAACAAACCAAGTGCTTACATCTGGGTTGTCACAGCCGATCATTTCTCCGTAGGACACCTGGTGACACAAGCAGTAGGTGGGCTCGTTGGGGTCCACTGG